TACGCTTTGACAGCCAAATTTGTATAGACCCAAACCGATCATCAGCGTTGATTTTTCACTCGAAATATGTTTGTGGAAGGAAACTGGCATGTTGAAGTTTGCTCTAGGGCCAGAGTCAATCGAACTGAGCCACTCCTTTGTGTTGACCCATTGCCTCCAAGTTGCCCACTTTTTCGCTTCAAAAAAGTTCAAATCAGAGGTGGCTCCAAACCGGACACGTTTTAGAGTGCACGTCAAATTCACTCTGGGTCTGAAATTAGGTAATTGCTATCGCTCCACGACGGCCAGTACAGAGAAACAATAAGTTCTGTCCCTCCAGGAAATCGCGATTCCACGGATGCAACAAATTTCGCGATTTTGGCCCAAACCCGCGATTTTCAGCAAAATCCGCGATTTCCCACGTTTTTTGTTGTTTTCTGCACTATATCTCCCATTTTTAGGCACTTTTCACGCAGTTCTGTCCATGATCCTGTACGGCTGTAGGTTATTTGCACAGTACGACTCCCGAGTAGATATACGATGCAACAAATTTCATGATTTGGCCCAAATCCGCAATTTTCTGCAAATGATTCCGCGAATTCCTGGCAAGTTCTGCATCATTCCGCACTTTTCGTCGCATTTTTTGTTACTTTCTGCCGCAATTTCTTGCGCAAGTTTTCGAGAGTTTTTTCCGCAAATTCCCGCAGGGACAGAATAAGCCTCGTGTGTGCTTCCATTAGTTTTGATTGGTATGCGGTGCTTTATTGGCGAGAGGCGAGCCGCTGTTTACCTGCGACAAGAAGTTGATTTTTCGAAAGTCGTAAACTCAAGTCGCAGTGCGAAGCAACACGTCAAAAACTCACCTGCTTAAAGGGGAAGTTAAGGCAAAAATTAAAATTTCACCAGTTGTAGTCTTCGGGGTGCTGAGTCTAATGGTCTTGGTCCGAGGAAGCTGAGACGCTCCCTTCCTACTTGAATCCCAATCGAACTCGCGCACTTCCACCGAAACTGGGTGACTGCGCCCTACTAGATGGGGATTTGTATGCAAAATGTCACTAAAAGCGCCATTTCGTTCTTATAAAAGCACGGATGACCGCGATTGGCCCATATGTTGTAGTCTTTTGGACGCTGAGTCGACTGGTTTTGGTCCGAAAAGGCTGCGATGCAGCGTTCCTCCTTTATTCCCAATCGAACATGGTTGAACAAGCGGTCACGTGGTCCTGGGTGCCCAAATCACCTGGTCACCACGCCAGCAGGTGACAACTTTCACACTAAGGTTCAACTCGAGTTCAACTCGAGTGACAGGACTGCACCCAAAAAAGGTCAAACAGGCTAGTAAGTTGTACCCTGCAGGCACGGTGACCAGGTGACTGGTGTACGCAGGAGCACGTGACCGCTTCTTCAACCATGTTCGATTGGGAATAAAGGAGGAACGCTGCATCGCAGCCTTTTCGGACCAAAACCAGTCGACTCAGCGTCCAAAAGACTACAACATATGGGCCAATCGCGGTCATCCGTGCTTTTATAAGAACGAAATGGCGCTTTTAGTGACATTTTGCATACAAATCCCCATCTAGTAGGGCGCAGTCACCCAGTTTCGGTGGAAGTGCGCGAGTTCGATTGGGATTCAAGTAGGAAGGGAGCGTCTCAGCTTCCTCGGACCACGACCATTCGACTCAGCACCCCGAAGACTACAACTGGTGAAATTTTAATTTTTGCCTTAACTTCCCCTTTAATATGGCGCTTCTGGTCATCGCAGAGCCATGAAATTTTGGCTCGGAGTATAACACATCGTAGTCTCACTGTGACATATGTTTTCTAATCAAAATACCAAGAGGGAAAGTGAATATTGAGTCCATTCCTGTTTGCAACCTGTGTCCTATTTGAAACCGTCCCCTCTACCGGTACACGCCGGTAGATCTACACTGGGGGAGCGGCCAGGTAAGTCCTCCAAGATCGGCCCCCTAGCCTTAAATAATTTTGGGAGCAGTGAGTGAGCAGGGGCCTACAAACTGTAGGGCCTAGGCCCCTGCTCACTCACTGCTCCCAAAATTTAACAAAACTTGGCAAAAGGGCATCGCTTCCTAATAAGTAAGGTGGAACAACGCTTCAAGGGTATATTGTTGGCACTCTTTTATATAATAGTTTCAAGCTTTCGCGATGAGGCGCTAGGCCTCAGGCAAACATCATTCTAATGTTCATGTCAAACGGGGAAAATGAGGTCTTGCCATTATTCACTACTGCGCAAGAAATATGGTGGGAACCACGCGCGTGCGCGCACACACAGACACACACACACACACACGCGCAAGCACACACACACTCACACCTCAGACCTCAGACCTGCCCATCGCGGAAGCGATGATAGCGAACAGCTATGTTAGACATAGCAACTTATGCTGGGATTACACCATTCAACAGCTTGCAAGGCTGATAAATTGACCGCCACTATTTTTAGCCTGGTATCCACCACACAGCTGATTGAAGTGACTTTTTCTGGCCAGTGAATCCCTATTTTTCATTTTTCCATTTTTTTCTTTTTCTTTTTTTTTCTACACACACACACCACACCACATACTCCGGCATACACTGGCTGTTGGTAACCACCCAGGAGAATGAAAGAAAAGTCAGGAAGAGACCGAGAAAGAGAAGAAAGACGTGTGCGACCATAATCTTCGGGAATTAAACCCGCAACCTCTCAACACTCACACACACCGCGCGCACACACACACACGCTCACACACACACGCACGCACCCGCGCACATGTGTCGGAAAGCATTTGACATGACCAGTTACAGCCAGGTTCTGAATGTCCTAGCCAGCGGCAAGGGGTAAATGCTGCACGCATTGCTTCACAGTTACGGATGCTGCCTTATGAGATGCCCAAATCCACAACGGTTTGCAGCGCAGCAAATGGAAGCGATGGGGACATATTGTGCTAGATGGCAGTAGACCACACTCAGGAGTATGCTGTATCCAGGCGGTCGGTGATCACCTAGACATGACAGTATAGATATAGGCAGAACAAAGGTGAAGGGGGCGGGGATCGTCCGACCCATTGTTTTTGTGATTTTACCGCTATTATGGCAGCTACTTTCACCCACACCAGCAAACATCCCACCAACTTCCATCCCATGCATTTATTCACCGGCCACTGGAACCCGCCTTGAGTATGGTTTCCGCGGCAAGTGATGATTATAAGAAGCAATGACTCATACAATGCTGTGCTGACAAAACTCAATCCGACAATGTACGGTCGAGTTGCGCGTCCAAGAACGTTGTTTCCAAGGAGTTAGCCTAGGACGTTCCTATTTTTCAGCAATCTGGCTGCATTCTTTGTTCTTCGGCGTGACTCTTCTGTATGCGTTGCCCCACGGCCGGGTCAGTACCCTGGCTAGCTAGACCCGGATGTGTGCACCACATGAATCAGGTACTCTGGCCTGAAGGAAAACACCTGACCAAAGACATGCATGGAAGACCTTACACATGGACTATGCCCTCCACGAGGGAGAGGGTTGGCAGTGTGTGCGTGTGTGAATGTATTGGTCTGAAACGGGCTGCACATGTAGCAATGTGTAGATTGAGTATATTGCAGCTTATGTGCTACAGTGTTTCTCGACTCTCTAGTGTCCCACTTTATTCGATAAACATCACAGTCACGTGAACCGGGGTCCCGGGAACCAGGGAGTGGCCGTGAAGAGGCCTGCACTCAGTGCACAGTGGACTCTGCCCGCGAACATGTGAATAGAAGAATACTGGTATTTTACTACTTCCTTGTACGAACTGGGCCTTTCTTGCCACTCGTTTCGTGTACACGTGCCCTAGCTTACGACAAACTTGAGTCCCTGGAGGCGAGTCCAAAAATCACGTTATCGAATAAGGTCTGTACTCTGTAGTCATGCATATCCATGTACTGAGTAGCTAGTGCATGTAGTCCCGTGGTAGCACTCACACGGTGATACCGGTGCATATCGTAGCTGCTATGCTCCCACTTGCAAACAAGAATTGCTCACATGCACACGCACACAAAAGCCTCGCGGTCACCGACTGACTGCAGTACCTGCTCGAAACCATAACCAGTACAGTCTTTGTGGTCCACTTTCACGACAATAACACACACAGAAGTCTCTGCTGTGAGCACGGTGGCTCGGCAATGGCGAAGTAAGCCTCGCGGTCACCGACTGACTGCAGTACCTGCTCGAAACCATAACCAGTACAATAATGTGCTCACGCACCGACTCACATGCAAATCAGCTTCAAGTTATTAGCAAGGGTACACAAGTGTATTACTCTTGCTATTAGGCGATTCGCGATGATCTTCGCCTATCCGATTCACTCGTGCTCCACGACACCCCTACTATAAACAGAATCACTACTCGTACAGTTTCAGGTTTGTTCAATCTTCAAGTGATAGCAGCAAGAGCACTGGTACATACATGCAAATGAAAGCCAGCGCCGCAGTCCGGTGTAAGCGCGTGTAGATCTACTATCAACAGTACATAACCAATTAACCATGATAACCCCCACAAAGTACTCTTGGTACTATTGATCACATGGCGAGATCAGCAACGTGATCAGCAATGGCACAAATGGCCAGTAGCCAGATCAAAATCGCTGACTGCATGCATAGTTGCATACACAGGACGAGCCAGAGACTCCATGCATTCACAGGCTGAGTCAGACCGCATCCATACACAGGTAGAAATATGACTGACTCCACGCATACACAGGTAGAAATATGACTGACTCTGCGCATACACAGGCTGGGCAAGACAGTACAGACAAGATTCCACTGTTATCTGGGACTAGCATACACAGCTCAACACTTCTGTCAACGATCAATCGAGAATGTCTTGGTGAAATAGATTTGTGCGTGCAATGCTGACGCTACCACATAATCAAGATACTGTGATAATTGAGTGGCAAGGCGACCAGTCTGTGAGTGTAAGTTGTGAAAGACTCTCACAATGTGAATGTATTGTGATCTAGAGCCTTGCAGGCAACGTGTGAATGGGGGGGGGGGGGGGTACTGGTGCAGATTCTACTATTGAATCGCTCCAAAGGTAAAAAGCAAATGGTGTGAGAAAAGAAAAGTTTAGAAAACCTGCTTTGTGAGCGTGATAATGTGTGCTGTACAGTGTTGAACCTGCGTGAGACACGAATCTCAGCGACAAGGGAAACTAGACAAGTGTTAGCCAGTCCCGGCTAATATAATATGAGTATAATCACATGCAGCAAGTACGATGCCGCTGGTCTAACGGGGGCGGCACCTACTGGTGTGAGAAAGGAATAGAAAAGGTGAAAGTAAAAATGCAAGACAATACAGGTGCGTTCTAGAGGGGTTGGGTAACTGGGAGCGAGGTGATGTGTTTGTACGGTTATTAGTGCTGCTGCAGCAGACAGTACATGCGCAACTATAGCAGGGAGTGTACAAACGGAGTATCAGGAAATGGGCAGTCAGTGCCATGCTAGAGAACACTGAGATTGGGTCACGTTGTCAGTGCAGATAGAGGGAGATAGAGATAGAGAGAGAGAGAGAGAGAGAGAGAGAGAGAGAGAGAGAGAGAGACAGAGACAGAGACAGAGAGAGAGAGAGAGAGAGAGAGAGAGAGAGAGAGAGAGAGAGAGACAGAGAGAGAGAGAGAGAGCACCGGGGCATTGGGGCACTTAGATAGTGTTATTGCTATTGTCAGCTGGCTAATTTACTATAGCTTGGGAAACAGTGATGCTGGCATCGAAAGTTTCCCTGTCCAGGCAGGGTGGAAGCATAAGTGCATTACGTTTCACGTTTCTGTGTGCACGGGTGCCATATAACAGTAAGTACAAGAACGGTGTCAGAGCGGTGGGGACCAGTAGTGGTCTGTGTGTGGTTACGCATGTGTCAGTGTGGGTCATGGATCTGTGCAGAATACAGGTCATGGATCTGTGCAGAATGCAGGTCATGGATCTGTGCAGAATGCAGGTCATGGATCTGTGCAGAATGCAGGTCATGGATCTGTGCAGAATGCAGGTTATGGATCTGTGCAGAATGCAGGTCATGGATCTGTGCAGAATGCAGGTCATGGATCTGTGCAGAATGCAGGTTGTGAATCTGTGTTGGCTTCAATCTGGGTGTGTGGGGGCAGCAGTATCATATCGGTTCTGTGGAAGCGCTTGACGCGTGTCATGCAAGGGATCAGGGATCTGGCAGCAGCAATATGATATCAATCCAACACGCACCTATGCATGACGGCTGGTGCTTGATGCGTCGGGATGGCGTACCCATACGTGTGCTGTCTCAACACTGGCACTGTTCTGTTGTCTCATTGTGGGACAACAGCCAATCGGATTTCACTATAAGTCAGTAGGGCAGTGCTGATGGTCAGGGACATTACGGACAAAGGCAGCAACATGTCGTCACTGCTAGTTCTATCACCAATCAACGGTAGGTTGCCATACCAGTCATCGAGGAGGCACGGGATATCTGAGGCTTGTACCAAATGCCGCTATTCGTGGGAGAGATGACGTTGCTGGCATGACTGGACTGCATTGCTAGGGCTGCAGTGCCTAGCGGCGGAAGCACCGAAGACGAGTTTGTAATCGCGCCGGCCTGGGATGCAAGCAAGTCTGCTTGGAATGATCCAGCACCAGCATCAGCCTGACAGTGTGTCTGAGATGAAGCCGCCGCCGCAGTGGTGGTGGTGGCCATACTGGCTGGCAGGCCAGCGTTGTTACCTACATTGGCCGGTAGAAACAGCTGTGGATAGTAGCCAATAGCAGCGGAAGCAGCTGCAGTGCCGGGAGCAGTTTGAACCGCCGCTGGCACCCGGTGATGATTCTGAGTGTGTTGTGCCGGAAACATGAGACTAGAGCTAGTGCCATGCTGCATTACTACACCTGCAGCAGCAGCAGTTGTACATTGACTTGCTGCTGCTGCTGCGGCTGGTGGTAGGTACGTGTTGGGTGATACATGCTGAGTTGCTGCTGCTGGGAGTGGCAGTCCATGTACAACATGGCCGAGATGTTGATTGCTGCCGCAGTAAAATGACAGTGCGCTCTGACCAATTGCACCACATATCGATGCAGTACTACTGCTGCTACTGATGCCTCCGCCGCCACCACCAACGCTGCTGCTGCTGCTGCTGCTACTGTAGATGCCAGGATTGAAGGATGATGACATTCTCTTGGCGGCACTCGTTGAAAACATACACCCGCCTCGCACCAGCTGGCGGCGCAGTTGTTGTAGCTGCTGCTGTCGGTGCAGTTGAGATGAAAAGGAATGGAATGAATCGTCTTGCAGCAGCTGTGGTGGCTGTATTTCATCTTGCAAGTCATCGTGCAGTTGAGAATCATGTGCCTGTTCTCGGCTGCAAAGAGGGTTTGGCTGCAGTTGGTGAAGTTGCTGTGAGAATACTGATGATGGCGGATATACCGGTGCTATAGATGGTGCCAACAGTACTGATGGCGCTACTCGGAAGAAAACAGATGATTCGTCTTCTCCAGAACTGTCGCTATGTTCCTCCTCATCCTCATCGACCTCTTCCTTGCCTTCTTCTTCTTCATCCTCTTCTTGATCATCATCGCCTTCTTCTTCGCTATCCGGTTGTACCCTTCCTTGGATAGGTTGATCTGAGCAAGAGTGTACTGGGGACACGGGAGGTGACTGCGTTAAGTGGCTGCTGCTGCCACTGCCACTGTTCTTGCCTAGTGTAGAGGTGTGGTGGTGGCTTACGTCATTCAGGTTTCCAATATGGAAAGACGCTGAAAGCTCTAGATCAGCTCCGGTGACCCTTTCGCTGGACAGTGATTGGTCGAAGTGTTGCGGAGCGTTCTCAGTTCTTGCGAATGCAGAGGCTGCCTCGCAGGACGGCGATTGATGAAAACCGGTGTCGCCTAGCGAAGAAGGTGAAGGATTTTGGAAAGGAGATATTCTCTTGGCAAGAGCGTGGCTAGATCCGTCCTCTAAGCTGGAAGGCGAGCCTTCGGAAGCAGCAAACACAAAATGGCTGCTGGCATTTCCACTGCCCTGAGAAGCGTAGCCGATGCTGCTGCTGCTGCTGCTGCCAGTACTGCTACCGATGCTTGACGTGCTGTGGGTTCTCTTCAGACCTTGGCGTATTCTTGCAGGAGTAGCATCAGGTGGCGATGAACATGCTACCTGGCCATGTAGACTCTTAAACTGATCAACACTGCTCAAGTCACAACTGGCTGGACTACGACAGATGATGCCACTGTCATTGTCAATGCTACCCACACTGCTGCCGCTGCTGTTACCGATAGTGGTAAGAGTGGGGTTGATGCCGTTGTGAAGAACCCCGGTGCATGGCTGTCTGGATGCGAATGCTGAGCTAGAACAGCTGGTGGCCTCAAGCAGCCCGTCGCCAACGGAACTAGCCATGGTGCGATCATCGATGGTGCTAACAGCAGTGGAGGATGGCTGAGGTAGTGGTGATATACCACAATGACGCATGAAGCCATTCAAGTCACTGGGCATGGTGGACTGACCGGACATCAGTCCTGTCGCTGGAGATAGTGACGAAGATGAAGAAATGCGACCTTGCTGCTCGATGGGGACTGCTGGCAGGTGCGCCATGGGCAACAGCGGTGTGCATGAGCCGACCAACTGTGCGTGCTGCTGTACATATGCACAACACACACATATACATACCGGTAGACAGAGAGAGAGAGACAGAGAGAGAGAGAGAGAGAGAGAGAGAGAGAGAGAGAGAGAGAGAGAGAGAGAGAGAGAGAGAGAGAGAGAGAGAGAGAGAGAGAGAGAAAGAAAGAGAGAGAGAGAGAAAGAAAGAGAGAGAGAGAGAGACACACACACACACACACACAAATAATGAGTTAAAGTTCAGAACGCTCCAGCTTGCTCCATATGCTAGACATCATTGGTCTAGCAGTCTTCCGTCCAGTTTTTCTTGCAATTTCCCAGCTAATACCCACCTGGGCTTCCCCTCCCTCTACATCCTGAGTATGGTGTTCCCCATATGAGCGTAGCCTCACACTACACCCGAGGAAGACAGTGATATCAGACAGACACCCGAGGAAAACATAGACAACTAGGCAGCATATCAGCATACTTACCGGTGCAGGTGCAATGTGCGTGGAGGCTGGTAAAACAGGCAGGGTATGGGTGGAGTACTGCATAGCAGTGCAAGCTGTCGCCACTGGTGTTGTCGCCCTTATTGGCATGGGTCCTGCTCCAACTGACATTGGTACTGGTGGGGCTGCTGAGCATGGATATGCTGAAAGCGATGATCTTGGAGAGGCTGTGGTTCTGGACGGGATGAGATGATCTACGTGGCTACCACCAGGATACTGCAAAGACGCACATACCGAGATACACGCACAGAGACACACACACACACACACACCGAACCACACACCGAACCACACACCGAACCACATACACATACCGGCATACATACCGACACACACACACACACACGCACCAACAAAACATAATGGTCACGCTACAGTATGAACTTAGTGCTGTCCGCCACAGAACTACTCAGACTATGTATACATGTACAACCATCCCGACCTTGACAGATGTACAGTAGAGCCTGTCATATCCGGACATGTACCTCAACCAGGAATCCTGCATTCAGGTACTTGCCATCAAATCCTGACAATGTCTTTCTTTGGTGGAGATCAGCTGAACTATTAAAGTCACTGCATTATGGCCGGAATATTCAGTTTCTATGCTGTATGCTTGTCAAATTGCACCGTCCATGGCCCGTTTGAAGAAGAAAAAAAGATGCATCCTATCCGGTATGGAAATTTAGCACCATGGAAGAATGCTTGCACTGACTAGTACACTAATGGTTGGTGTCCAAGCCGGTGGCCCTCATCCAGCTGCACTGTGCTACACTGTGCTACGGTGGTAACAAGTGAAATCCGACCCCAGCTTGGTGCACTCGCATTGCAAACACCGAAGCATGTGCAGCTTGGTGCACTCGCATTGCAAACACCCAAGCATGTGCAGCTTGGTGCACTCGCATTGCAAACACCCAAGCATGTGCAGCTTGGTGCACTCGCATTGCAAACACCCAAGCATGTGCAGCTTGGTGCACTCGCATTGCAAACACCCAAGCATGTGCAGCTTGGTGCACTCGCATTGCAAACACCCAAGCATGTGCAGCTTGGTGCACTCGCATTGCAAACACCCAAGCATGTGCAGCTTGGTGCACTCGCATTGCAAACACCCAAGCATGTGCAGCTTGGTGCACTCGCATTGCAAACACCCAAGCATGTGCAGCTTGGTGCACTCACATTGCAAACACCCAAGCATGTGCAGCTTGGTGCACTCACATTGCAAACACCCAAGCATGTGCAGCTTGGTGCACTCACATTGCAAACACCAAGCATGTGCAGCAGCAGCATATACAGCGCTAGAACCCATGCTGCGCTCGAGCACGACAATCAGGGGTCGGATTTCAGTGGTCAGCTACTAGTGCCTAAAGAATGTGACATACCGTATAGGCGCGAATAGAAGCCCCGGGGCTCTACTTTTCCAGAAGACACCCAGAGGGGGCTGTATTCGAGAGGGGGCTTTATTTTTTCACCCCTCCCCTTTGATTGCACACATCCGTTTCTGGCGCAGTGTGTTCCTATTTTTTCATGTCTCTACGTTGACCCCAGAGGGCCAGAGCGATCCCGTACCTCCAATATGCATCTAGTGATCTGCAAAGCACACTGTGTTGATCGTGCATACCGTACATGGTTCATGTACTGCACTACAACGTACGGACTGTGAGCGCTCGATTAGAGCCCCGGGCTTTTATTCGAGACGGGGCTGTATTACTTCGAATGTCTCTGAGGGATGGGCTCTATTCGAGAGGGGCTCTATTCGAAGGGGGGCTTGTATTCGCGCGCGCATGGTAGATATCAGACACCCGAGGAAAACATAGACAACTAGGCAGCATATCAGCATACTTACCGGTGCAGGTGCAATGTGCGTGGAGGCTGGTAAAACAGGCAGGGTATGGGTGGAGTACTGCATAGCAGTGCAAGCTGTCGCCACTGGTGTTGTCGCCCTTATTGCCATGGGTCCTGCTCCAACTGATATTGGTACTGGTCGGGCTGCAGAGCATGCTCGGGTTGGGAGCGGTGATTTCGGAGAGGTGGTGCGTCCGGGTGAGGCCAAACGATCCGTGCGGCTACCACCAGGGTACTACAAACACACACACACACACACACACACACACACACACACACACACACACGCACACACACACACACGCACACACACCTCAGACCTCAGACATGCTCATCGCGGAAGCGATGATAGCGAACAGCTATGTTAGACATAGCAACTTGTACTGGGATTACACCATTCAACAGCTTGCAAGGCTGATGAATTGACCGCCACTATTTTCTACAAGTAGCCTGGTATCCACCACACAGCTGACTGAAATGGCTTTTTCTGGCCAGTGAATCCCTATTTTTCATTTTTTTTCTTTTTTTTTACACACACACACACACACACACACACACACACAAACGTGAAAATCTGACTTGGTACAAAATCCTTTCCGCCTCCCCCATTTGACAGGAGTCCAGTTGTTGCAGTGAATTCCCAATGTCTACACGACCGTGCATGAAATTATGTATCCGGCCACGACATAATTCTATGTGGGACGGGGTCCGGGCAAACACAGATGTTATTGCACATGCACAATATCAGTACCGTAAAAGTCCGTAAATAAGTACCTGCCCAAAAGAAATACCCCCTTCATTCTTTTGGCTCTGTCTGTTGAAGTCAAGTCAAGCCCGATAAACATACTGCCCGAAATAAGTACCGGTACGTTGCGCACATGCAGCATGTAGCATGTACATCGACATGAAAATGACTTCTCTACTACACACAAGTCAGGTCCGAAAGTTAGTTCGTGCCCGAAAGTCAGTACCCGCCCGAAAGTTAGTACGAGTGTGGTCACTAAATTCGAAAGTAAATACGTACTTATTTACGGACTTTTACGGTAGATTGTTATCTACACATACATGTACATAGAGCTACCACACGTCTACCACATGACAACAAGGCGTGGCAGCAAACCTTGGTTCAAACTCCAGTTAAGAGTTTTAACAGTCCCTGCATCTATGGATCACATGATGTCAGCCATGTTGGTTCCACTGTCCACATGACATGATCACTTTCTACACAAATTTACAGTCCATTTCAAAACTATAGACGCGTAGGGTTTTTGAAATATTTCGAATTTGGCTGGAACTTTTTGAGAATAGTTTTCGGAATATTGCTCAGGTCCGCTCCACAATTACTCTCATATAGTTTCTAAACGATTGGATAACAGACGTCCAATTTGGAAAATTTTATGCACAAAGTGATCACAGATTTTATGTGGTATAGATGCTGGCATAACGGTCTTTGCCTAGGTACGCGTCTATGGTTTTGAAATGGACTGTAGGCACATGACAAACTGATGTGTGAAGTCACTCTACTACTGAACAAGGTGGGCTCTTGCTCGCTCCAAAAACACAGTGTCACATTGATTCTTTCCTACAGGCTTGTAAACACATGGCATGCACTTCATCATTCTGCACGTGGCCTACAGTCAACTTCGCTAATAACGACTGCGGATATAACGACAATTCGCGAATAAGGACAGAATTTCCATGCCCAGAGCAAAGTCCATTCTACCTGTGTACATATAATGAGACTTCGGGTATAACGACACGAATAAGGACACTTTTCTGATGCCCGGCTGAGTGTCGTTATACGCAAAGTTGACTGCATATCAGTTTGTTATTCACACATGCTCAGCACAAATGACTCAGTAAAGAGTGCAGACACTCACTCTTATGAATGTCTCTCGTCGGCGCCCGTCACATAGATACTCGGTTTCGGAATAGCCGTCGGGAACAGAACAATACTCGCTGCCGCTGCTGCAGCTGCCTGGTGCTCCATGCTGTACACCCGCATTTCCATCTCGACCTCTTGGTGCAGCAGGTCTTGGTGCCATCGAGCTGGTGTGTGAGATTTCACTGCGAGTGAGATCATCATCCGGTACTGCTGAGGTTTGTAGGCAAGACTGGATTAGCTGCTGGCCAACGCTCGACTTGAAGATGGACTGCAGCTTCTTGGTGGCGAAGGAGAAGACGGAATCGCGAGACGCAGCCAACACGAGCACTTCAGAGCCTGTCAAAACACTGAGTTCAAATCCCTGGACAATGTGCACATATGCATTTGCATACACATACACACACATACACACACATACACACACACATACACACACATACACACACACCACACACACACACACACACACACACACACACACACACACACACACACACGCACACACACGTACACACATGTACACACACGTATATACATATCGACAATTATTGTACAACCAAATCACAAAAGGCAATGCTAGGCATAGCAGCTTGTGCTGGGACCATCAGCTTCAAGCACATGCACATGCACACACACACACACACACACACACACACACACACACACACACACACACACACACACACACAAACACACACACACACACACACAAACACACACACACACGCACAAACATACACACATATGCACACATAGATGCACACACACGTATACACATACACACATGCACACACACACACACATGTCATGCACTAGACACATACACACGTACACACGTACACACACACACATGTCCACACACACACTGACAATCAATCACAAAAGGCAACTTATAGTACATTTGCCTGCAATTGGACCCTCCAATTCCTGCACGTAGCACCTTCAAGTCTAGTGACCTTATATGCAATGCATTTCTCTTAATATAGCACTCTGTAGTACATGTCCTCCCAATTGGGTCAAAAAGGGACTAGCTGCAAAAGCTACCTATGCCTGCCAGTACAGTACTTAAGGTCATGCTAATATGGCTAATAAACCCATACTATATGCACCTGCCATTAGCGTGCTTGTACTAAGCAGTATGTGGGACCTCCCTTGCGCCATGCGCCAGGCTCTCATCGCCAGGCTTCCAGCTGAAAGGAAACTTTCATGTGCAGCCAGCAGTGCGCACGCCCTGCCATTCTGGCAACACAGCAATGCACAGTCCCTGGCTGTGTGCACAGTGCCAGTCTGTTCAGCTGTCAGCGAGGACTACAGCTTGAAATACGCGCCAAGCCTACATCCACACACTTCAAAGTACTATTGTGCTGCCCATGTACAGCAGCTCAAAGTACATACAGCTTTTAACAACAGCAGTACAATCATAGTCTTCATTGTGTGCAATTGCTCCGCGCCCACTGAATGTCAGCGTTGTCGATCTATGCAACTGCTTTCCTGCCACTGCCTTCCTGCCACTGGCTTCCTGTGGAGGCTGGCAGCCTGAATCGGTAGACGTTGGTACAGGTGCGGGATTTCTTGCGCATCCATGGAAAGGAAGCTGTCTCCTACAAAGTGTGGCACCTTGTGCAGTGAATGTTACGACTACGGGTGATACGCGGACTATGCACCATGATCTACTGAAATCTGCCCTGTTTCTTCTTCACAAAGTCTGTTCCGCTCTACCAAGTAGACAAAACGAACACATCCCAATTTTTTTCCTGCAAGTTATTATTACGATAATCTTTATTAGGATGTGCTATTTTGAACTCGGATGGTGAGTCAATATCAATCAGAAGAAAGTCAGGCCGTTGAATGCCTCAGTACTAATACAGTAAAATCCCGCCAGAGCACCCCTACCTCCTCGACGCTTCAGGTGGGGAGGGGTGGATGGGCGAGTCCTACTTGCCGCATTCAGTACTACATGAAAAAGTACTCAGTCTCACCCTACGAAAACGGTTCGTGCATCTCGTACACCGACCAAGAGCCAGGAGTCGTGCAGACCCATCAAAACTCAGGATTTGTGCGATCCCTGGTCAAGAGGGTGGGCACTGTTGCGTACATTTCCAAGGGGGTCGAGCACGCGTCTGCAGTACAGTACGGCATCACAGACTGTGACAGAGTCCTACGAGGATACAATCGATCACGTCCCTGACGAGAAGTCAGGGAGGGGCGGATGGGAGAGACGCTCTGGCGGGATTTTACAGTACCCTCCGTCAATTTCGTGCCTAGTTGTCACACTACATGTATTTGACTGTATACATGTATGATCTCATTGATCTGGTTCTATTGCTGGACTGTAAAGCTGTGTTCATAACTGGCGTGTGTATGCGCTATGTTTGCAGTTCATACGCGACCGAGTGCATATTCAGGCCATCACAGAACACAGGCTCTCAGCTAATTGAGTCGTATTTAGGTCTTGCGACACCGTAGAGTACTAACGTTTTGACTCCACCAGTCAAAGTGACTGGCTTATGCCAGTACGTGCCTGAAACGCGCTGAAAATACATTGTGCTGGGTTTCCATTTCAGGGCAATTCCATAAGCGTGACACCCCAAAAGCCAGCAAAATACGCACAAACACGTGGTTTCAGGCGTATGCGTGCGTCAGTTATGATCACAGCCCGAGTCGTAACTCCTACAAAATTGTCTTTCTCTTATCGTTTTAATACTAGGATGACCCAGTATCAAATTATGTAAAGATGAGTAAGTGCATAGTTGGAGGGAGCTGCACCAAATGACCAACAGCAAAGGGCAACTTAGAACCACGAAGTACAAGTACTTTTTTTTCTACTTGAAAAGTTGCTATGGCTGACAGAACCCACTGCATGCAGAGTCGAGTGCGATGCACATACACTGGACCATTTGGGGAGAAGCAGCACGCACTACACAAGGCATCAAACACATTGTGGCCATCCTATGCTATAACCGGCATCGGTCCTACCTTCTTCATAAGGCCTCCTTTCCGCTTATGGAACGTCGCGCTCCGTTTCTGCTTGTGTCGGATGAGTTCGATATCAATCTTCACCCTGCCCCTAGTTTTCTTGTGAGAGCCTCCATACTTGTCGGGAGAAGAACCATCGGGTGTTTGCGGTGACTCCTTGCTCCTGCCATCGACATCCGCTTGTCCTTCAGAATCGCTGAATTGTTCCTGAGTATCCTCCATTGAAAGAAGATTCTCTTGATTCTTCCGTGAACCCATCAGCTGCTTGATGGCAACGGCAACCAAACTGTCCAAATAATTGTAGACGTGCTGCCTTCGCCTTTCGATTCGTTTCAAGGTCCTAACTGACTGATTGTATCTCCAAACAACTCTGCTTTACTGTTTTGTAGGGTCGGAATACTCTTGAGTTGGATGAAGAAATTAGCACAGTCCAGGCGAGTACCTCTGTGCCCCTCTGCAAGCTCCAGAACTTGGGGAGCATTTTTCTCCTTTGCTGGCATATTGGGATAACTCTTGCCCAAAAGTAACTACCGAGTTCACACGGGTTGAAGTTAGTTTGTAATCACAACCTTATTTGCTAGCAATTGTTGCCAACACTGACACAATGTTCTCTCCAATTTGGGCATATGACATACGGTGACGCTAAAGTCCATGCGTCAACATAGAAGAATGAGTACTATATCCTGGATCGCTTGAATCAACACCGTGGCGCGCCGGCGATGACATGCCAAACGTGCAAGAAAGGAAGACTACGACCGTTGCGACTTCCGAATTCACTGATTGCACGGTACTTGTACGGTACGTATAATGTGGATCATGTACGCCAACATGCTCATATACGTACCGGTACCGCGGGTACGTAACGCTGACGCTGACATGACGCTGACGGTACGGCCGCCCGGGTACGTGGAATCCTTGTCGCGCGCGTGTGGGAGCCTCCGAGGTCACGGCGAGGCGCCTGCGATCAAGACGTGTACAAAAATGCTCAAACTAAGGGCAGAGTTGGGCGCATCGCTGCACAACACCACAGCCTTTCAGTTTGTTCAATCAAACCTCAATCTGGATTAGGCCTCGACCAAATATGCTTGCGCATATTTCCGCATATTTTTGTGAGACAGTTCATTATGGCATATTGAGCGACAAAGGCGTATACGATACTCCAGCCCATGCATGTCTGTGGATGTAATTCATTGTGCACAATCCAGCATGCAAGTCTGATCTTCCACGCTGTGGTAAACCATTCTGCACTTGACCAAATTACCAGCTGAGAAGCGACACAGCGTACGAGCAGATCAAGGGTACATTACAGTATATGCACACACTTGTCATCTAGAGCCACTACCACAGGGGACACTTGAGAAAAAGACAGAGCACGTTGCAATGTGCCGTCAGCCATGATGAAATAGCATAAACATGTGCACACACACACACACACACACACACACACACACACACACACACACACACACACACACACACACACACACACACACACACACACACACACACACACACAGGCACACACACAGGCACACACACACCAGCACGTGCATCCATTCGCAGAGCAACGAGCACAGAGTGGTGTTTGCAAAGGCATACAAGAGCAGCCCAGTGCTGCAGGCAAGTCATGCAACAGACTACTTGCCAAGTATAGACAAGTAGAGAGCAACGAGACCTGCACAGAACTTCATAAATGAAACAACGACTGGCAGCACAGCAGTACATGACTGCAGATCATGTACTGCTGTGTGTATACAGTGGAGAATAGGGTGCATAGAGAGAACTCTTGTCAAGTGCAGGAAACACATATCAAACCATGACATCAAGTCGTCGCACTAACAGCGCTAATAAGCAATAGAAAAGAAGTGGAGGCAGCCGATATAGTGCTTGCTAGGACATAAATATAATAATAGTAATAATAATAATATTCACCATAGGAGAGAATCTGGGATGAGCTGAAAATAATAGTGCTGTTTCTACTCTCCAGCAAGAGGAGAGATCTGCACGCAGATGTCGGGATGGCAGGATTCGCCAACGACATGCCGCCATGCCAACTGGGGCGCGGGGGACAGAGTATGTGAAGAGCGGCTGGTGAAAGTCAGCATCTTCACGTCTAGTGGTACTGGGCGCTATATTCTACATCAACTGAATAGACACTACACATGGGCACATTGACAAAGAAAAGAAACATGGAATAATGGAATAGAGAGGTAAACAAGGAGAGGTTGGGAGTTGATAGTGTGCCAAATGTGACAGAAAAACAGACGAAGAGAACAGGGGAGGCGTAGAGAGTGTAGTAAATGCTGCAGAGAATAGGTAATGTTGCATGCTGAAGTAGAGAAAGGGAAGCTTGCTTAAACAAGACAAACACACAGGAATGTCTATGAACGTCTATATAGCAGACAGATGTGAAGGGTGGGAAGAAATGAAAATAACAACATACAAGTGGATACACACACATACGTGCACGCATGCACACACACACACACACACACACACACACACACACACACACACACATACACACACACACACACACACACACACACACATACACACAGCCAACTGGGAGAGCGCAAACAGCACAAGGAGGCATAGAACCGATGGCAGAACGCACAGAGTACTGACAGTACAAGCTTAGCTGTGCCATGACATTAGAATAAGCCAGCACTCTTGCGAAGTTGCACTTTCTTCCAAGCTGGGATCTTCTCAAACTCTTCACGAGTCTGCGAGAAGGCAACCTATATAAAAGACACAAGGACACAAGGCGACAGCAAACAGATTACAAAAATGGAAACTCTGTTGATCCCGCAGCTTCAATTTACAGGCAAACTGCGTGGGCTGAGTCAGATAATGCCTTTAGCTGCAGGGCATGATACAAGCACAACACAACATCACAACACTACAACTGTATACATCCCTGATAGTCAGCAGAATTGTGCATGTGTCAATAAACAGTAGGGGTGAAACGGTTCCATGTTTTTCATGTTCGGGTACCCGAATGCCAGCATAGTTTCCCACGGTTCGGGTATCGGTTCTATGCACTCTTTTGTCCAGACCGACCAAATGCGTCATTGACAATTATTTTCAAGTTAGAAAACATGTTTACGAGCAAGAACGAGACATCGGAGAGTCCATGTGCGAAGAAGGTACGCTCGTAAGTCGTAGTGACCAGGATCGATAGGAGAACCCTTTGGAAGGGCGGTGATCATAAGGTAAGACATTTAAAAATCTTGAGTAGACTTGGCGTGTACATGTATTTGTACCCGAACCGTTTCACACCTAATAAACAGACGCTGCTCTGTTTCAGTAGATCTACCAACACCCTGCAGCTGCATTTTAGGCAGCTAAGGCCGCGGTCACACACACAATAACGGCGGATGTGGAAGTCCCGCTCTGGCGCCACCGCCAAAAGTGCATGTGTGATCGCGCTCTGAAATGTCATTTTGAACAAAAAACCGGTTTGAAGGCGTTTCAGGGTTAAACAAAATTCAAGAACCTTTCAAGGCCCTGTGCGAGCCATGTGCAGCGTTAACACGGAGACGAAAGGGAACGCTTCCCCTGGCCGTTTTCCAACCGTTAGCAAGAAGCGGAAATGGGCAGCTGATGGCAAGAGAGCACATTTTCCTATCCAAAATGTCTAAAGAAATGAAACTGAGTGCTTCCATCATACAAGGCAGAAGAGAAACCAGTAGTACCGTCACTACATGCTCTCTGACATGAGCAAGAGCCCTAATTGCACTACAGTGCATTTCAAAACTATAGACGCGTAGGGTTTTTGAAATATTTCAAATTTGGCTGAAACTTTTTGAGAATAGTTTTCGGAATATTGCTCAGGATCGCTCCACAATTACTCTCATATAGTTTCTAAAGGATTGGATAACAGACGCCCAATTTGGAAAAAATTATGCACAAAGTGATCACAGATTTTATGTGGTATAGATGCTGGCATAACGGTTTTTGCCTAGGTACGCGTCTATAGTTTTGAAATGGACTGTAGTTCTGTGTTTCTCACGTATCTTAATTAAAGGTAGTTTTCTTGAGCAGTACTTCTGCTAAATTCTATTCCTTTTACATCTCTTCACTTACTTCCCTTTTCACTTCCCTTTCATCCCAGCCACCCTTCCAGGAAACTCCCCCAATAAGTATCCATTTACTTTTGGAGAGTCCTTCAAACAAAGTAACGAATGAATGAATTTCATTCGAGTCATACACGTACATGGGATCACAGTTGCATACTGTAATTACTGTTGTTTATGGATTCCTGATGTTACTCTTGTGCAGCTACATTTGTACTTCAAACTAGGTCAGCATCCATACAGTAGTTTGGTCTGACTAACCATAGAAAGTATTTGAAGGCTACCCAAAGTGACTCTGTGTACCATTTGCACAGCATCAAACAACATACCTGAAAATCTGCGTCGCTGAGATAGATCTCCAAAGTCTTGGGGTCTACATCGAGGTTATCTGGAAGTGGCTTGGTGCGGAGCAGCGCCAGAGGATGCGTCACACTGGAAATGCATGTGAACAGATGGCCATGAAGAGCATGTAACAGCAACAGCAACAACACACACAACACATAAAATGTTAATACAGTATTTTGCACTGACAACATAGTCTTGGGAGCTTATTAACAAAATACTCCTGCTGGTGTTACGTTGAGATGCATCATGAATGCTACGGATGATTATGTATGACTGTACCGCAGTATACTACCTCTTTTGCCATCACGCTACGTACGCATGTGCACGATCTTACACGTTGGCACTCCTTTCACGATGTGTTCCACATTTTCCTACAAACGTATCTGATTCTGGCTCATACCGCTATGTACTAACGTTTGAGCCAAAGATTCTTGAGTACAACGGAAGTTCTAAAGATACAGACTTTCATTGCAAGGTCCCCAGCAGGCCAGTTCCTGTGCAGGGTTTCCACACATTCCTTTCCCGGCAGATGCCATATACTCTCGTGATCCCATGCACCTGACTCAATCTGTACCCCATTCCGCTGCATACACCCCGCACCCTGGTCACTCCGTACACATAGCTCCTGCGTGCCTATCCCCAAATACAGTCATATCACTCCACACCCATATATGCATAGGTCATAGCTTCAAGTATCTCTCCCCCCCCCCCCCCCCCCATTGTACCTCATGTCCTGCTGCACTGGCCCAGGTAGCTGCATATGCACATCTCATCCATATTTGCCAAAGCCACACCCCTCCCCTCCCCCTTCCACCATCCTGCATCCCTGTATTGTTCCCCAAGTCCCGCTGCACAGGCCCAGGTAGCTGCATATGCACACTCATCCATATTTGCCATAGCTACCCATATATAGCTCAATCTCACACCTATTATGACTGAACATTTTCTCTCTCTTTTGTAGCATAACGAGAATGATCTCTTCGACTATTATTATCATCCTGTTGCTGTTTAGTGTGCTGTGAGCTAACTTTACATTGGCGCCCAGTGTGTGGCTGGACCCCATACCCCTGACGTTACACTCAGGCTCGAGAATACGCTTCTTATGGAAGCAGTCGAGGAGCACTCCGAGATATCCAGCTGAGGTTACTAGTGGTAACAGCAGAGAAATTTGTCCAGTGCAAGACACGAACGGCGGTCTGAATTTTCTTTTACGTTAACCCAATGTCTGTCTGATGCGCGGTCGTGTACAGTGGTCAGCTTCGAATACCGTATTTCACCGAATATAAGTCGTGCCCTTCTTTTACACTAAAGTCCCAAGGCGACCTTATACTACATGTACACTGATCACTAGGGGTGAAACGAGTATCTATTTTGACCAATTGATCACTCATTCATAATATTCGATCGAGTATCCGATTATTTCGAGTATTTTATCAAAATTCAAAAGCGCTAGATTTGTGAGTTCTCGACCAATCCGGGAGAAATGGTCTGTGAACATAGAACAAAAGTCGCCAACGTCTTGTACAGAGTGTAAAGTAACGATTTTCATCAGTGCTTTCATTATCTCATAACAAACTAACGTAACTTGCCGTGGTGATCGCATCGTCCAAGTCATAAAATACTGACTCAAAGGCATACATAACACATTCATACCAGTGGATGAGCGGTCCAACACAAGTTTTTTGAAAATTAGAATGCCAATACAAAAAAAAAAAAAAAACATTGAGTGCAAAATTTCGAATACTCGCTCGTTTGAAAATTTCGAACGAATATTCGAACTAATCGTTTCACCCCTACTGATCACAATTCAGTATTTGGGCTGAGCAAACTCACCCAGCCATAGTCTCCAACTCTTCCTCCAGATCAATTGGCTCCAGTTGCGAACAAGGTCGAACCTGCCGAACACAAACAATCCAGTACGGCCAAAGCGCCATCACACATAAAATGATTTAAATACCGGTATATGCAGAACAACATCAACATCGGCAGGAACAAACGTGTAAAAAAGAGAGGATGGAAAGCATGTGAATGGCGGAAATAGCAAGGGTGTGAAAACAAGAGAGAGAGAGTGTGAGAGAGAACTGCAAGAGAGCAAACCAGACTACCTTTTCAACAGCCTGTACTGCTTCTTCATCCGTCTCCCAGTGTAAGAACAAGGAGCGGAATGAGTCAGGCTCATAACCAGCAGTGATAACAGTAGCATGGCAGCCCGATAAACCGTCCTTCTTCATATCTGAACAAATAAACGGCAGCAGCAGCAACAGCAACAACAACAACTGCATTGCGTCCCAATCTTACGATTGCCTGTACAAGAGGTATTTCTCATGGCGCTGGAGATGACAATGATGACAACTATAGTGTCACAACATCTCTAACACGATGCAGAAGATGATGACAATCACATTGCACCCATATTCAGCCACCCAAAAGAACCTAATCTTAAACAGCATGCGAGCAAATTAGAATCATGGCTGGTGTGATAGCCAGACTGGCTGAGTTCTCCCATCCATAGGAGCGATATCAACACCCATGCATCCGATGCAGTAAGAAGGAGGAAATCAGACCAACCAAAGCGGCTTTAATCCTATTCCCTACAGTGACATGGCCTTTGTGCGGCACCACATCAACATTGAAGACAATCATTATATCAGTGTCAGTAAACAGGGGGATGAGGATGAGGAGAGGGCTTACCAGCAAGGTAGGACTTGGCTGTTTGAAATGCACGCTTCTTCGTGTCCATCCACTTAGACTTGACACTGCCAATGGTGCGGTCATCCTCACCTTGCTCCCGCATCCAACCACACCAGATGAACAGCTCATTGCCAGCTTCAAAGAAGCCAACAGCTGAGAGCACCAGAAACACAACAATAGAGAGAGGGAGGAATGAGAAGAAAAGAACAGAGTCGATGCATACCAGCCAGACACCTAGAACCACCACCACAAGCACCATCATCATCATCAGCAGCAGCAGCAGCAACAGCAGCAGCACGGCTAGCACCATCATCACCACTAGCAGCAGCAGCAACATCAGCAACAACAGCAGTATCCGCAGCATTAGCACCACAAGCACCACTAGCAGCACCATCATCAGCAACAGCAGCAGCAGCAGCAGCAGCAGCAGCAGCAGCAACAGCAATACCACCACCAGCAGCAGCAGCAGCAACAGCAACAGAAACAACAGCAGCATCAACACTCTTATTGGCGATGGTGTCATCGTGATAATAAAGAATTCAAAAACAGCAACAGCAACCGCAGCAGCAGTAACCGCAGCAGCAGCAGCATCTGCCATCATCATCATCATCATCATCATCATCGGCAGCAGCAGCAACAACAACAGCAACATAAGCAGCATTAGCACCAGCACCGTCATCAGCAGCACAGCAGCTGTTGGCAAGCATATTAAAAATTAGGGATGAAAATTAATACTAGCTGAGACTAACCTGGCTGATTGTCATGATAGAAGACGGACTGAGGTGCTGGATAAGCAATCGGCAGGTCATCCTTACGCCACTGGCGTAGCTGTGCCGAGTACTTGAAAGAACCACTTGAACTACCGAATGTGAATACACGGGGTGCAGAACAGCCACCAAGGACAAGACCTGGACAACAACAAGAGCAACAAGAGCAACAAGAACAGCACCAGCAACAAAAGCAACCAGCAAGAAACATTACACCAATTCTGTAGAGGACTGTAACAGTAGAGAGGTGAAGCACTTACATCATCATCATCATGCGTTTACTTCATTCATTTGTTGACAGAATGGAAAAGGGAAAAAAGTCCGAGGAAAAAATTGACTGTCACCAGCAGCCGTTTTCGCTGAAAGCCAATTTTGTGACTGATGGGTGAGAAAGGTGCCTGGTAGACGGCCGTATTAGGGGAGTTATACTGAACTGGTCATAAACCCGGAAAGGGTTAGGGTAACATGCAAAATCAGCATTCATACAGTAAAAAAAGAGTTACTTATCGTGACTGTTCCCGAAGGGAACTCACGACGGCCGCTAACACCTGGTAAACACTAGCGGCAGATGCAGCGCCTAACAGTGGGGGCGAGTGGATAAGTCTCACAACCAATGGCACAAGTGCCGAGAAACCCCATTAGCTGCATCCATGTACAGTACAGTGTACTAAAGAGACAGCTTCGTGTCAGCCATTCATCAAGGCTTGAAAATCCCCACAGAGCTTGGATGTGAGTTGATAGTTAAATTTTTCTTGCTTCACAGGATCACCAGGAAAAGCAAGCTGGGCTACATCCACAATCCCCTCGAATCCCGATGGACAAGTTTGGCCGGCCAATACTACAGCACATCTACTGTAGACTGGTCGGCATTGGATCCACACCAGCCACCGGGATAGCTGGCTTTGCCATATTCACATCATCATGCAGACAAAAAACAACAACAACAACAGCGGACTACTAACGCAGATACTAGGGGTCTAATTTTCATCAAGATCTTACCATTATCCCAAAACTTTGCAGATGTACTGAAGCCATCCACTAAGCGCTCCAGACGTGCACATGAATCACCTTGATCAAGCTCTATTATGTCCTTGTCGTCAGTACAGATGGCATAGGTGTTGTCAGACGTTTGCCTGAAGGTGTGATGGGGGACACCGGCAAGCAAGAAATACACTAACATCATCCACCGGGTGCACATGAACACAAAGAGATGCAGATAGCACTGCACAAACATGAACCTGTGTGTATGTGCGCACGCACGCGTGTGTGTGTACACTGTAAATGCATAGCACATAACACTGCCTTCAAGATTCTCTTACTCAGCGCCATCGTATCATGTTCAGCGACACCAGCATTCAAGACTGTCTTGTCTAGCATGCCATATTTATACCATCACGATTACATTACTGGTGCAACGACAACTTCCATGTGTTCATGATGTGCAGAACATACCTAGATGCAAGTTTGGTGGCAGCTTCATAAGCACGTGCTTTGACAGTCTTGCTGGAGGATTTGCCATGCCAGACATAGACCTGCGATCTCTTAGAGTCCACAAGGACTGCAGAGTGGCGGCTGCGCAATGATGTATGGCTGCAACAGTATAGAACATACACATACACACGAGCACACACACACACACACACGAGCACAGACGAGCGCACACGCACAGACGAGCGCACACGCACACACGAGCGCACACGCACAGACGAGCGCACACGCACACATGAGCACGCGCGCACGCACACACACCATGGGAGACTAACAGGAATTACAGCAGAACATTTTGCAGAGCATAGTAACTTTTCCGGTTCCATGAAAAGACAGCCCCCATCCCTTACTATAACGCTTCAATAAAACTGTAATCCAGTCCATTGCTACGACCGGCCCGCAAAACGCTGTTCCACTCTCCGATCATTGAACTACAGAAGCAAGAGGCAAGAGGCAATTTGCGAGGCCAGCTAGAAGCTGGACCAATAGCAGAGGGACAGAGACATACAGGAGGCCTTGCTTACAGCCCATGCCATTGACCTACATCCAGCATTTGGGAGGCAGCCATTGGCCAAGGTGCGTGCTTGAAGTGCCACCATCCAAAATATACTGACCAAGCAAATGGAATGCGTAGCAATCACAACAAACAGGATAAATAATGTAAACACAACATACTCGATAGGACCGGGCAATTCATCCAGATGACATTCGGCCTCCACAAGTCCATGCACTGCGTACAAGCGGACATCTGCAGTGTGACATATGCAACAGACATACGCATATGCACACAACCATGATTCATGTGGCCAGCCAGATGCAACTACAGAGGTAATAGCTACCCCAGCAAAGGTACCAATGTATGTATATGTACAGTCGTGGCCAAAGAAATCGAACCCGAGAGGCAAAAGTAGCGTAACGTTTCCATTTCAATTACATCATGCACGTTCCCAGAACTGATCAGAGGGTGGCAGGCGCCGCATGAGACTTGGCGCTGCTTTCGGCCCGTGGCCTGGATTTCTTTGGCCACAACTGTACATGTGCCTCTCAGTACCGTTGGTACAGTCAACCTTGTGAATAATGAACCTCGATGAGGCATGAGAAAAGTGTTGATACATGCACTCGCAAGGTTGAAAGTAATTCAAGTATGCAGTAAGTCTGAGCATAGTGTCGCTATCTGTGAGTTGTTGCTATACCCCAAGTTGTTGATCACAAGGCTGACTGTAGCAGCAGTGCTCAATTTAGAGAGGAGCTGATTTTGATGCTATACTACCACTGGTCACCAACAGCGGGCAATCTTGTTGCTGTAACATACTTACGACAAGCAGGCAAATAACCCCGCAAGCACGCGCTCGCGCACCCACCCACATAGCAATACAGGTCTCTAGCATCCGCGTAGCGGGGTACAACTTGTACAGATATACATGCACATGTCAAGCAACTCATGAACCTAGCGTATAGTACACATCGCATTGCTCAATGTCTGCGATTGGTCAGTTGTGAGTGTAGCACGAGCTGCAAGTTATTTGCGATTGGGCTATCCCTGTCGGTTTGGCAGGCGGATGTGCATGGGGAGCGGGTCTTACAATGGATGAACGTGATGGGGTATGATCCACTGGTGGCGAGCGTGTATCACGTACCAGTACAATAAATACACATTCAAACCCTAGATTTACCTGAGGCGGTGTCGGTGTCTCCCTTGGAACTGCAATAACACACATACAGTAAACAAAGGAACGGCAGCAAAGTGATGATTGCGCAGCCTCTAAAGTTCAATTAGGAACATTGCACTTCAAAGGATAAACAGAGGCTGGGAGGCTGCAGGATTCCCAAGAGACCCACTCGCTACACACAGCAGCATGAGGGAGAGAGACATGTCTCTTACAGCACAGCAGAATGAATGAAGGAGACATGTCACTTACACTTTAAACATGTGGTTGATGGATTTTCGATCCTTGCAATGCTGGGAGTCAAAACTGCTAGTTTCGGCTCGCAATCGAACTAGCTAACTGACACAGAGACTAAAATCAATGCAACATTACCTTCCACAGTGGATAGTCATGGCTCCGTTGAACATTTGAAGGAATGCTGGTGGCTCAGAGCCTTGAGCAACTCGGATCTAAAGAAGAGAGAGAGAGAGAGAGAGAGAGAGAGAGAGAGAGAGAGAGAGAGAGAGAGAGAGGCATCTTGCCACAATACTAGAAGAAAAGAGAGCAGGGCGGTGAGTAAAGCGCAGATGTAGACAGAACGCCCCAACGCAACTGTGTGGATCGGCCAGCTGCGAAAAGCAGCATTTTAACAACTTGTGGAGCTAGGGTAGTGCTGCACTCTGCACATTGTCATCGATATCAGCACGATGCTGCTAGGGCTCTCTACCGCATCACTTTATATGTACAGTACATCTCTAAACAGCCAAGCAGAATGAGGGTACCGGACTACCGGTAGACATTGCAGTGTGTGCGGACAAAGCAGCAGCAGCCATACAAGTACTCATACACGAAAAGGCGACTGCTTGCAACATACCTGTGGATCACCTTCACTGCCTGACAGCTCCACAACAATAAGGGCAGCTGTGCCTTTCTCGTTGATACAACAGTTAGCGCCCTGCCAGAAGAAATAGACCGTCTGATCGGAACCAACTTGCTTGGACTGGATTCCCGTCTTGATGTTGGACCTCTCAGCATAGAGTGAGTAGACCCAGCGTACAATATAGGCGTCCTCCTCAAAGAAATCAGAGTACGCTGCTTCCTTCACCTCATGGCACTTGTTGTCTCTGACCTGCCACTTCTTGACGGAGACGGTTTTGACAACAACACCAGGCAGGCAAGGATCATCACTGGGTGCTTCACCGTGTCCACGACCAAGGTTGCGCTGCAACACCACTAAGCCAGGGTATGGCTCGGAGTTACGACGCATTGCCACTCCATCGCAGCCGGCGGTTGATGATGCTGCTGATTTACTGGTACCGTTCTGAGTATACAGGGAGAAACACCAAAAGAACCAACATAGCACACGCGTACACACACACGCAGACACGCATACACACACACAAACACACACACACAGACATACACACACACTTGTACTTGCTCACTGCCAAAACTGGTCACGTGGGTCTCCCCGGGAGAGGGGAGAGAGACTCAAAAGGAATCTTGGAAAGATGACTCAATTGGCCATTGAACCACCCAACGGCCGACACCCCCTGAAATCCCCAAACTAGGGTGGACTTGAAATGATCCCGCTTATGGGCTCACCACACCTCAGTAAGTGGGTGAGGACAAGGTGCAGAAAAAGGATTGACGGCATCAGGGTATCCGTCCCGGGATCCAACTGCAGGTACCCCTGCCCCCAGTGAAGGTAACACTTGCTACTAGTGTGGGTGGCTAAATCAGAGTGGATCTGATATAAGCTTCACTAGCACCATTGATTACACAAGAGTTAATCTAGCCAGAAGCAGTCCATGGTTAATAGCAGGTATGTATACTTCAAATAGAAAGTATATGAACCCTGAAACCAACAAAGGTGGTAGGTACAACAATACACCTTCAAGGAGCCGAGCCCGTTGGCAACAGGCCCAACACTATCTGGCATAAGTGTACCCACCAACCGAACTAGCTAACACACACACACACACACACACACACACACACACACACACACACACACACACACACACACACACACACACACACACACACAGTGAATTTCCGCCACTAAACACATAGCATACTGGAATGCATAGCCTAAGTACATTTCAACAACACAGACGCATGGTTTTTCACACTTTTTACCAAGGTTTTCTGGTCGTTGGGAGTTTCTATACATTGGCTCATGTTTGTTCGACAATTCTACACACATACTTGCTATTCTCCAGGAATAACGCTCATAACCCGGGCTTGAAATGCTTTGGTGGTTTTGAGCTGATACTTGTCATTTTTAGATAGCTTGTGCTACTGATGATGCCATGAATTAAGACAATGAACATATTTTAGCCTCACTATTATTCAAGAACCTTTAGTGTGATCAATGATGCTTGGTCCGGCTCATCGCAATTGTCGCTTATCCCCCACGCACTTTTTGACAGGTAAAACCCAGTCCAATCACAATATCTAACTTACTTTTGCTTGGGAGGTCGTGATGGCAAGATCAAAGGAGGCACCAAAGAAAAAATGATCGCGACTAGCGCTTTGAATCGCGATGTATTCGACTTTTTTGGAAAGTGAGAATCTGGCCATTCACTGTCTGTGTTGCCAAAAGCCAAGCGCAGGCTAGCGACCCGAAGACCGGAACTGTAGCAGGGAAAACTGACATCCTGACCTGGAGAGCGTGACCGGCACGCGCGTGCACGGCAGAGGAGTATGAGGGTCATGCTGAAGAAGAAAGGTGTTTTTGATGCGATGCGCCCGACGTGTTGGTTGTTCCTTCTCTTGGTGGACCTAGCAGCCGCATTACAAGAGTCGTGGCCAGCGTATCCAGCGGAGCGTATGCCAGCTGTCTGGAGAGGCCTGTATGCCTCATTCGAAGGCTTTGTTGAAACACACTGTGGTGACACACAGGTCACACTGCCCAGGTTCCTTCAAGCACCGAAGTGACAGCCACAACTGTTCCTTTCCCATTGATGCCATACGACAGGCCGCAAGAGATACTCTACCAGTCTACGCCAGCAGCTAGACACCAGCAAATGTCAGCTCATGTAAGGACGCGGCTCAAGAGATGCAGAGTTGAGTGAACTCTGGACCTGTATTACTAGTGTGAGTGCAAGAACGCGCTCCTTCGCTGATTTATTTCGTGCATTTTGCTTACCTTGCTTCCTTTCTTCGACTCGCTTCACCTGATTCCATTGCTGAATTTTTTTCTTGTGGCGGAGAGTATTCATGTATCATGCTTCCTCACTATGCCTGTTGGAAATTTCACAGAGCGGTAAAAAAAACTCCTGTTCTTAGTGGCGAAAGATAAGCGACAATTGCGATGAGCCGGACCAAGTATAATAAACTTGGAAGTAGCGACTTTGGCGGAATTTGTAAATAAATATAGTTGCTCCTAAATGGAACACATACTTCCTATCGAACTTGACACTTGACTGACTCACGACTGCCATCCTGCAAGAAAGCACCGAGTTTCCCGAAGCACTGTGTATTTTAAGCATGGAGTGGTGCATTCTTGCAGGTTTGCCGAAGGTGCGGCGAACTCCTCGTGTTCTCCGGATGACAGTAATGATTCAGTAAAGTGTCAAGCTCGGCAGGAAGTGTGTGTTCCAGGTAGGAGCAACCAAATTCATATAATGATATAATGAAGTAGACAACACCTGAATTGAGCAACATCAGCAACAGCACACAACAATAGTGCTGCTCAATGAAACCTGACCTTGTGAGCTAAGAGGCTGGCATGCATTCATCATGAGCCAAGGATCAACACAAACATACCATTTTTGCCGCAGTAGTTTTGCTAGCTGGTGCTCTGGTCTTGATCACCTTGCCCGGATCTGGCCAATCTGAGAACTTTGAGCGGAACAAGATAGTCTCAGAACCATCCTTACAGCTCATGAGCAAGGCCCAGGACGGACGACTCTTTCCTGACTTGGCACCTTCTTTGGAAATGTACCCACGGTCAAACACGTCCTTGGTGAGGCTGGCAGTGTTTTTCCTGATCGACTGTGGAGCTCTGCGTCCTGTCCACGACGCAACTTCATTCTCAAAGTCAAAGATCATCACCTACGGCAACAGCATATCACACGATTAAAAACAGAATCGTCGAGAGAATTCCTATGACATAGTGCACACTAGCAGCTTAGCATCTACTACATGACAGGGATAATGTGCTAGTGTAACAGTGTACTAGCATCTACTACATGACAGGGATAATGTGCTAGTGTGTACTAGCATCTACTACATGACAGGGATAATGTGCTAGTGTGTACTAGCATCTACTACATTCCTACATGACAGTGATATTGTGGTGTGTACCATGGTGTACATACACTACTCTACTTTCAACTACAGCACATGCAAAGTTAATTTGTACAGCACCTACAAGCATGGCAAGTATGAAGAAAAGGGTGACGGCGACAAACAACAACAGAGGCGTGAATGATAATGACAGCCACTGTCACCTTCTCTCATAGCAGAGCTAGCAATACAGAATACACGCATATCTGTCTAATCCGGACGTCAAAGTAATTAGTTACGGCAAGAGTAGATAAACAAGAGTGTGCAACTCTGGATCTCTTCTGCACAATCTGCAGATATCCCTGCCTAGGCGGTATTTTTTGTTGACGTCACCTTTTTTCAGAAAACGCGCATTTTGCCACAGAGCCGGGTGAGAGCACGTGCTGGGCACCGACCTTGTAATGTAAAGCCCGGCCAAGTGCACGAGGCAAAACTTTCCAAAAGACACCCAGCGCGCGCGTCGTCGAAAAGATTGCGTCAACAAAAAATTCCGCCGCAGGCCAACCCATCCCGGAGTTGCACACTCGTGTTCATCTACTCTTGGTTACGGGAACTACATAGTCAAGTTCAGTGGAAATATTCCTACTCCTTGCCAATTATTGTAGAAATAGTGACATCATATGCCAGATCTCTGACACTTCCCCATCAAAACACACATGATGCAGAGGTACGCAGACTCAGAGTTACGGAAATTTCCAAGTTATGGCTGTAGCTGGTCACGGACAGCATGGATAAGAGAGATACAAGTGTACTGTAGAAGAATCTAACACCACTCACCTTGGCAGGATCCAGGCTTGCAAATTTCAGTGACTTTCCACTAAGATCATCACGGAGTACTACTTTGTCATCAACGATCTCATAAGCTACTATCTTTTTGATCAGATCCTTTTCCACAATAAGGTCTTCACCCACCTCAGCCGGGAAGTCTACAAAATAAGGAAGGATAGTGGTGTACAAAGCAGGTTAGAATAGTTGGTAACACTTGATCAAGACAAACACAATCACACAGGAGAGGGAGGGAGGGAGGGAGGGAGAGAGAGGAGAGAGAGAGAGAGAGAGAGAGAGAGAGAGAGAGAGAGAGAGAGAGAGAGAGAGAGAGAGAGAGAGAGAGAGAGAGAGAGAGAGAGAGAGGACCCCCCCCCCACACACACACAGAGAACGGCAGCAACGCCAATTGCCCCAAAGCAGAGTCACCACAGCTATGGATCGACATGTGTAGTCAAGTTGCCGAGCACTGCACGTTTCAGCGAGCAGTAGCCATTACTTCATTGCAAAGACTAGATATAACAAGATACCTCCGAGTATTGCTGCAGTCACTTGAATTATCAATTTGCATGCCATTCAAAACTTCAAATGCAATGTAAGCACAGGTAGGTTTGTATAAGCAGCATGGTAAAGCAGGCCCTACAGTACACGTTAGGCGAATTTCCACTGAAGTTTGTTGTGACACTGGACCAAGTTTGGCAAATTTATTATGCCCAGTATCCACACATGATAGAACATTGGCTTGGGAAAAGAAACTAGTGAAATACCTAAAGACACTCCACAAAGCTAAACAAGTATCAGAAACCGAGTTCTCTATTTGTTCTTTATTTGTTATATACGACAACTGTATAAATACAAGTTCATGCACCACATGTCCGCCTTTCAAGATCAGCCATGTATTGAAACTAAATGGCCCCAAGTACACGCTTCTCATCAACATAAAACAGGTGCCTGCACTGAATGCCCACCATCAAGACAAGGCTTGTATTGCAACCAGCCATCTTATCGGGCGGGCTGTCCATTCGTACAATATAGCGCAGAAAACATACACTGTCACAACACTCACTGCTCGCTTACCTGCTGGTTTGCCATCCTTGCCAGTCAGCGCTTTCCAGAATTGGCCTTCTGAAGTTTGACTGGAGATCTTGCCTTCCTCTACAATAGTAACTTTGGGTGCTTTGCAGCCACAGTCTTTACCATGGAAGATATCCTGAACTAAGTCAGCACTCTAAATGAAACAAAAACAAAAGACAAAAACATCAGCACGCATGCAAGAAGTGTGCGTGCAGTTACTAGATGACACGGTAGTATGTCTACTCTTCACAATAGATATGGACAGCAAGCATACGTCCATCCGCAGGAGAATAGGCAGAACAGACATGTAGAACAGACATGTAGAACAGACATGTAGACAGCCATGGACGCAAGTACGGGTGCTGCCATTGCTAGTTATCACTGTGGCAACGGCCCCTTGTCCCGGGTCACTATTGGAGACTGGGCTATTACTGGGCTTTTATTAGTATGTTGCGGGTGGAAAACTTCTATGTACACACAGCCTGTGATCAAGAGCCACACGTGAATTTTATAGAGCTCACATCGTGACTTTAAGAATACAAGTCAACGACTCTAAGAGGAGCAAGGAGCAGTGGGACTTAAATTGCCATACGTGCTGCATAGAATTTCAAACTCATCTACATATCATCATCGAGGCATACCTTAGCACGTTCCACAACATTAGCTCCCTTTCCGATGAACTGGAAAAGGGAACGGTTGTCACCATTAACAAGAATAAAGCTATCGCCAGAGTTCATCGATGAGACGTTTGGTTCAACAATGCGTGTTTGAAGGGAGCGGCGTCCTAGTACAGCGTACAAGGAGAAAGAAAGTGATAAAAAGGAAATAAGTTGCGGTTTGAGAGAGATCGAGAACCAAATCCAGATAGATAGATAAAGAGAGAGGGAGGGAGAGGGAGAGAGGGAAAGTGAGAGTGAGAGAGAGAGTGAGAGAGAGAGAGAGTGAGAGAGGGAGAGAGTGAGTGAGAGAGAGAGAGAGAGAGAGAGAGAGAGAGAGAGAGAGAGAGAGAGAGACAGAGAGGGAGAGAGAGAGAGAGGGAGAGAGAGAGAGAGTCAGTTACTAGTAGATTGGCATTTTAAAGAACTGGATACTTCAAGTAAGTACAGTACAAATTAGACTTCATTCGCAAGAGATCCAGTGACAATAAGTTGGACAGAAAAGAGAAACATTGTACACAAAAGACAATCACATGCCGATATGACCAGTGGCCAGCTTACCTTTGATGTGGATCAAGAGCTTCTTCGGCCATACTATAGCATTGACATCAGTAACGGACGTCAACTTGACAGCACCGACATTCTCCTTGGCGGCCAAGCCAGCCAGAGCACCAGCAGCCATGGAAATGTTCATACCAGCAAGCTGAGCACTCTTGGAGAAGACTTGCTTACCAACTGACTCTGCCGGAGCAGGCTATAACGAGACAAGACAAACAACAAGAACAACGTGAACGTGCACAGCAACAAATGAAAGCACCAAGTTCAGTTGAACACTGCAGAGCCAGCTCAAGTAGGTTAACACAAGGTGTGAAAGTCACAATGCACACAAACACACAGAAAGTGTCAAGAACAACAAATGGCCTGCAAAATAACACCTGACAACCTCGGTGTTACCCCGGAAGATTGATTTATGTCGGTTGGCCAGATCATTCAAAAAAGCATTCTGAGGTTCTCATGTCCAAATAAATAAAAAATGAAAATTCGACGGGATTCGCGTACCGGGCAGGTCAAGAACAAAGAGTCGTACTACTCCCTGGTCAAGAACCACCTTTCCGCTTCCGTGGGACGCCACCACCCCATGATCAGGCGTCAGATGTCCAAATGATGCCATGAATTAAAGTACTACCTCTCAAACCGTAGATCCTAAATTCCACACTTACACAACAGTGCACATAGTGCATATACATACAGAAGGCAGAATAGATGATCACGAGCCATGTACATGTACACCACCCACACAGGTACATACATGTACACCAGTCCAGCACTGAACCTTACATCCTACCCCTGCGTAACATAACGTAACACTATCCACTGCACCAAGAGTAAAATAAAGAAGAGTGTGCAACTCTGCAGCTGGTCTGGTCTATGGCGGAATAATTTGTTGACGCCACCTTTTCAGAACACTTGACGCATGTCGTATAAAGCACGCACAAAGCATGCGCTGGACGACGACCTTCATCGCTAGTTTGTGTTTTTGCTGCTTTCAAAACAAAAGTTATAACTGTTTCTCCCGTTTCTGCAAATCTTTACCGCACTCGTAGTGCAAGTTGAGAGAAACCCTGCCGAGGTCACGTGGCCACAGACTCGCAGCGCATGTCTTGTACAGTATGACTCATGATCTCGAGAAAAGGGAACGTCAAAAACAAAAAAATCCGCCGTGGGCCAAACCAAGCTGACACTGTACACAGTATGCATGAGAAAACACAGCTCTGCAAAAGCCGGCTTACCTCCAGTTCGTCCAGAACATCAGATCGCTCCTGGAGTGCCTTGACAGGGTTCTTGGTGGCCTTGCGTCGGCCACCAGGAGCAACCATAATACGATGTGACTGATGCTCTGACACAAGCCTGTGCACAAGTGAAAGCGCACAGGAGTGAACACAGGAGTGAGCACAGGAATGTATACATTGCACACACCACAGCAGACAAGTACAAAGCAGGGGTCTTACTTATTGGAAGTAAATGGTAGCACGGGTACACAATAAAACTAGGGGCCATGGGTGAAACAACTAGCTAATGCGCACAATATGTCTATTTCGTTATTTAGGACCTATTTTGCTTGCTATAGTTGAACATCAATTATCTAGAGATTACTTATCCGACCAATTGATAACTTGGAATCGGTTTGAGAGTGCATATAATAAGAGCCCGGGGTTCTTATTATTTCAGTAACGGATCTACCCGCGCTACTATTAGAGACTGTGCTATTATTGGAGACTGGTTTTATTTTTTCAATGCTCCCCTATCAAGGCAACTGTAGTCTACATAGGCACAAACTGACCATATCCATACTGATTTTCTGAACCCTAAACTCAGGGATATTGTCATAACTGATGTTTCACAATAACATGGGCACCAGGACGGAAGCAATAAACCAAAAACCTCCTTACAAATATGTGCTTGACATGCTGTACTCCTGTTTAGTATGCCGTCAATATACCTGTTGCATACTGCAATTGTGGCTCACGCTACTGTTAGAGACTGTGCTCTTATTATTTCAAGCAACTCTCACCCTGGGTCATTATTGGAGGCTGGGCTTCTATTAGAGAAAATAAGGTAACACACTTGACATAGGGAAATGGCACATTCTTGTGTTTACATTCATGTAGCGACATTATTTTAGGTCAATGCAATCTGGTACAACAGGAGGTTTTCAATACGATACAGGCACGCAATATTACATGAACTGTATGTGTACACATGTACACATACAGTTCATGTACACATACAGGTCATGTACACATACATTTCTGACTGACATAATGTGTGCATGTGGTCCCAAATGGAAGCATAACATATGTGCGTCTTGTGTTTACATTCATGTAGCGACATTATTTTAGGTCAATGCAATCTGGTACAACAGGAGGTTTTCAATACGATACAGGCACGCAATATTACATGAACTGTATGTGTACACATGTACACATACAGTTCATGTACACATACATTTCTGACTGACATAATGTGTGCATGTGGTCCCAAATGGAAGCATAAAATATGTGCGTCTGATATTTCCTTTTCGAGAACATTGACCATATCCAAACGCATGGCTAGGGGTCTCTACCCAGTGGTGATCGGATGATCGATATTCACAACGGTAGCTATGAAACAAGGTAGCTTGGTGATGAGGCAAAGGACAACCTGCTCCTGATTACAATCGTATCCGGTTGGTCTCAGTCTGCACATATGAACTGGTTGGATACATGATGGGACATGACCAACTCGGCCAGTCTCTTCCTAAAAAATGGGTTGAACCAGGCCACAACAACTGTCCAACCAGTTCATCGACATCCCCGTCATGCAGACCAAGGACCTACTAACAGGATCAGATAGTAGTCAAGAACATCTCCGCAGGGGGTTCTCCACATTGTCACAACCTATCTTCCACCATATATGGCTAGTTTTAGGGCAGTGGATGTGTACACAAAAAGGAGCCAGGACAATGGACATTGTTGCACACCCATCCCAAATATAAAATGTATACTCAGAAATGGAAGCAAGGACAAGCGAGCAATAAGCAATATCCCCATGCATTCTAGCCTACTAGACGAGTCCAAGTTTAGAACAGTTGAGGAATAGTGACACGCCATTTCATGGTGCTCCAAGGTAAGGTAGGTCTGCCAAATGCCAATGTATTGCTAACTCCACTCCTTCTATCTTGGGTCAGTGCAATAGGCCTTATGCACATTGTACAGATGCACGAAATCCCGTATAATCTTGTGGAATCCCGTAGACCCGGTTGGGTGTTGAATGTGCAGGACCCTATTGTGTTTACTGCTATTTCCACTATGAAATGGGCCATGAAGGCATTTCATACGAAATCTTTTTCCGGCAGAGATCTAGCTAGTCGTTAGTTCAATCCCAAAGTGAAGAAGGCTTGAAAAGTGATCGTTTGCCATGAATTGTGAGGCTAAATGGGTCAAACGCGCATGTATAGCACACAATGAACACCCAACCGGGTATGTACACACCTACGGCCCTAGTACAGAACTTCGTACATCTGTACAATGTGCATAAGGACTATCATTGCTCTGTTCTTCTGTCTTTGTTTTCAACCACAGGGAGTACTATACAGCAGCACATGGTATGCATAGAGACACAAAGCTGTCTTTTCAAGCACAGGGCACAACATCAAATATGAGGACTAGAATAGGAACTTCTGTTGCATAACGTGCAACAGCGACCCCATGTGCTCAATTGGCGGACAGAACTCTTTTGTTCTTTGTGGACTAATCAGCGCAGAGAAAATGGTGCCAACCTGGCAGCAACGGGTTTACACTAGTGACTACAGCTATGCCTACTTAGTACAAAGCTCCAGTGGTCTGTAAGCTGTAAACCAACAATAGTGAAGCAATGTCCTTTGGGTCTGTCACAATACATCGCATGTGCGCATTACACTCAACATCCACACGCATACGCACTCACACATACAAACGGATGCCTCACCACATGCCCACCCACCCACACATAATGCCAAGGGCACACCGCTCTGAAACTGTGGCCAAGTACAGTTACTGTCATAACAGTAGTATTGTAGACAAGGCAAGTAAGGAATACCATTAGAAGTGTTCTCACCTTGGTTGGACTTTCAGGTCATCAAAGGACATGTCCGAACTTGCTGCTGATGACCTGCGACGTTGAGCTGGGGATGAACGGCCAGACCTGCTGGAAGAGGGTGACTGGGAGCCATCCCGTGTCTTGCGCGGCACATCAGCATTGGCAGTTGAGCGTGTAGAAGACGCACTTTCACTCACTGAGGATTTCCTTCTTCGCACAGGTCCTGAAGCTGAAGATGCAACATCACTTTGGGTCTTAGATCCACGGCGTGAAGAGGTGGACGATGATGCTGATGGTGTTGTGGACTGTTTGCGTTTTAGTGCAGACTCGGTAGATGAAGTTGAATCCGTTGATGGCTTACGTCGTGCACCAGACAAAGGTGATGCCGCCGCATCACTTGATCTCTTGCGAACAGATGATGGCGATGATGCTGGCGCTGACGTTATGGAGTCTTTCTTCGCCAAGCTGCTAGAGGTACCTGGAGTATACCTTTTGCTTGCTGGAGGTGACGACGTAGCAGGCGAGCCAGCTGACGAGGTCTTCCTTGGCCTCCTCGATGAAGGTGATGCAGCACCAACTGAGTCTTTCCGAGAAACATCACTGCTGCTTGAAGTTGCCTTCTTGCCATCTGATCCAGCATCTGACGACTTTCTCCGCAACCTTGATGATGCTGAGGCCTCGGTAGAGTCTCTCCGCAACCTTGATGATGCTGAGGCCTCAGTAGAGTCTCTCCGCAACCTTGATGATGCTGAGGCCTCAGTAGAGTCTCTCCGCAACCTTGATGATGCTGAGGCCTCGGTAGAGTCCCTCCGCAACCTTGATGATGCTGAGGCCTCGGTAGAGTCTCTCCTGGTTGAAACTGTGCTAGCATTGCCAGAAGACCCCCGCTTCGTGGTTGGGGAAGATTGTGTACGGGCTGACCCTCGGCTTCCGTCTTTCCTGGGAATCTCATCATCCTTGGAGCGGGATAGGTTAGTTTTGACTTCTGGAGTACTGTCACCTTGAGATGCTACCGCAACATCAGAACTTTCACATGCAGTACTGTTCCCGGTCGACGTACTGGTGTCATCATCTTTAGCTCTTGCAGCGGTACTCGACGGACCAGAGATCGACGATCGTGCGGAGTCTACATCTCCACACAGTTTATCTCCAATAATATCCCCTGGATTTGACAGAGGTGTGCTGTCCCTTCGCTCTTCAAAGCGATGCATTGCTTGCTGGATCTGAGACGACTTTGGAGCTGAAACCTTTCGAACCAGTGAACTTCTAGATTCTGTAGACAGTGCAGTGTCCTTTTTAGAGTCAAACTTTGACATTCGTTCTTTGATTGACAAAGACGTCACTTTTGAGACGCTTCTGTGTCCCCCTTCGGACTTCGATGATCCATTCTCTGCTACTACTAGCCTGCGCACAGAACCAGCACCGGAGGCAAGAGGAGATGATTTCTTTTCAGCTAACTGGCCGTATCTACTTGCAGCACTCGAGGCCGTTGATCCTGCAGTTTTCGGGTCTACCGGAGAGGAGGCCGATCTCACCCTTGCTCCACCACAGTGCTTATCCTTCTCCAGCGTCTCGTACTGAGCAACAAGAGCAGACAATTTGCCAGGTTGACGTTTCGCTACAGACATTTCTCAGGCACTTCAGAATAAATTTGCAGACGACAAAACAAATTGACCTGATGATGGCCAAGCTATCTCTTCATAATCAGATTCTACCTATCTTCTAAACTAGTAACCCTAAAATGAAACTACAACTCCACTCTGACAGTGGGAGAAGATAGGAGAGGGACCTCTTCTGTCTAAACAAGTAAGTTAGTTCGTCCTCCAGAATCCGTATAAACAAGAGTGCTCTTTTTACGAACTGTAGTCGTGTACGAAGAGTGCACCAAATCAGACAACAGAATAGCTCAAGGAGCGCAGAGTGCAGAGGAGACAAGTCCGGTGCAGTTTGAGGGCTTGCTCGTACTTTTTACGAAGTACGTGATCACGAAACCTCTCGCTAGCGCTAGAAAAACAGCCACTACGCTTTTATTTCGTACGGTGCAATCTGCATGCCAGCTCCGCCCGCTGCATTTGGTGTTTGCATGATTCGCTGCGCTACGCACATCCATTTCACTTTTACTTCAGCGTCGAATCGCGCGAATAGCTATGCTACATTTCCGGAATCATCCCATATCCGACCCTGCAAATCACAATTATTTGGACGGCTTTCCGGCATATCCATAATTCCCATTGCTGTTTGCAAATTAATTATTTGGCCTATCACACTCGAGCTACCGCCCGTCGCCCCAGTGGTCTGGATACCGCGGAGGGACTTGAACAGAACTGAAAGAATTTTTGAGACTCGTAGATGTACGAGTAGTACTCTGTTCAAGAACTGAAGGAAGGGCAAAACTTACTTACTTTACCGGCTACGGGGTTATTTGTCGCACAGATGCAGCAGCACTACATGCACCGCCGCATAGTTTCTGCGCAACATGTACAGTACTCGGTATTTTGAGAGCACAAAGTCAAAGGACGACGGCCAAGAAGTGATAAGACTCGAGCATGCAACGAGAAAGAATAGAATGTACCTTGGGTCGTGTTCTCCTACTTCGCGAAGCAGCAGGCTTCATTGTGACGGCTGCGTCCAACAGTTGTGTCCACTGCTGTCAAAGGGTTTGCACTAGCGGCGTACCGCACTCAGTCATACTCCGTAGCTGCAGTAGAGTAATGGCTGCAGGAGGATCCACGGCGCAAGCAGAATTCTCCACGAAACTCTGCTCGCAGAGCAACGGCAGATTTCTCCATTAGTTATTCCACCTGTGATTTGCGATGGCGTGCTTCTACCGCTCCTGCGGCGATACTCCTACCCGACCCACCGTACCTGATAGCTGTGAAGCAGCAGCAGCAGCAGTCTTCACTTCAAGCCTACTGTCCCAAAGCCCAGTGGTGGGATAGTCGAGTAGGAAGCCTTGCAAGTAGTTGCAAGGATCTGGGCTAGGAAGTCTACAGTCATGTAGTCAATCACAGTCAGCCACGGTCAACCATGGTCAACGGCAACGAAGGAAAAAGGGTGTGGAAGCTCAGCCTCAGGTGTATCATGCACTACATCTGTACAACTACAAAGTACAAGCTCCTGAATAAGCAGCTACTGACAGTCTGTAGTGGTGTAGGACTGTACTAGGTCACAGTAGGTGGCCGCGACTGATCCCAGACCATACTCATGATACTGACTCTGTACCAGTCCAGGCCAGGCCAAGGCGAGGTGTAGAAAAACAGCGTCCAGATCACGGCACGTGAGTCACTTGTCCTTATCACAACTGTCGCGAGTAGATCTAAGACAGACTGTAAGAGTGTCGGTGATTTTGATCTTGCGTAGATCTACGTGTAGGCCTACCTGTGCCTGTGGTAACTAAAGTAAAGTGTAAGTAAGTTTTGTACATCACTGTACACACACACTGTGACAGAGTCACGATCTGTGTGTGACATAGTCATAGGCGTGGTGATCTGGTTATCCCACTGCACTCGGACCTCAAAATCTAGGCACTCTACTAGTAGTACATGTACATGTACATGTACTAGTAGTAGTAGATCTACGTATCTATTAGTAATATTGTATTATTGTCATATTGACTGAGTACGAGGTGAGGTAGCCGAGTATAGGTATGGCAAAAATCTATACTATAGGAGTCAATACTAAGGGAGTGATAAAGTGCTATACAATCATGTACTCTGTGTAGTCTACCATGGTCTACAGCTCAGCTGACTGACGGTCTGTAGCTACTACTGTAAAACTAAAAGCCATAATAACGAAGTGCTAACTCTCTAAATCTGTCGTTAAAATAGAAATCGTTATACTGAAATCGACACATACATGTATACTGTCCTATTGAGCGTTGAGAATAAGTGAGAATCGTTACCTTTGGTACACGTAAACCAGTCAATTTCGGGAAATCGTATATGCGCCTCGTTAGAATAACGGCTTTTACAATACAGTCATCATGACTCATGTAGGTCCAGGACTGCAGGAGGACCAGGTCCAGGATCGACCAGGCAGGCCAGGAGGCGGGACTCACGTGCTGCTGCCTGTCGACATAGATTATCGTGTCTGGTATGGACAGTCGGACAGATTCGATACTGAGCTGGTACATGGTCGGTAGCTGCCATTCTTTTTTCAAGAATATCCTAACTTACAGAAGCCAACTACTAAACTAACTACTTATGAGGGAGGTAGGGAGGGAGGGAGAGAGCGAGAGAGAGAGAGAGAGAGAGAGAGAGAGAGAGAGAGAGAGAGACGGAGAGAGAGAGAGAGAGAGAGAGAGAGAGAGAGAGAGAGAGAGAGAGAGAGAGAGAGAGAGAGAGAGAGCCTGAGAGAGGGAGAGGGAGAGGGAGAGAGAGAGAGACGTCGGGGCTGCCTAGCCTGTTGAGTGTTGAACTAACTTGTATACAAGACCGGGACTCTGCCAACCGCGACCGGGATTGTGGCAAGAGTGCTGCGCAGAAACGGTTTATGCATTCTTCAACTATGGTTGTAGCCAAGACCATTATGCGTCCTCGGCCTCGCCTTGTATAAAGTAACGGTATTTTGTATTATCACTCCCTTAGTATTGACTCACATAGATTTTTGCCATACCTAAGCAGTCAAATATTCCTGCATATTTCACTCCTTAGGGCTATATAATTATTGACTGCTTATATTTGACTGCTTACAGCTTAGGGGTTGCGCAGTTGAACGGTGCCTAGTGCAGCATTGTCACTGCATGAGTAGGCCGTGGTGCAACGGTTGTGCAATCATAAAACCGGGATTCATGAGGTTATCGTTCTGGAATTTGAAATACGGACTGTTTGTCGTGATAAATCTAATATTGACTTCGTACTTGGTCAAAATAAAAACCTCGTAAAAGACCTCGGCTTCGCCTCGGTCTTTTACTCGGCTTTTATTGATATTACTTATTACAATAATTAGTCATGTTACGTAACAGTCGTTGTTCATGTTGAGTCTTGCACATCATGAGTAGTAAAATACCGGTATTTTACGACTCCCTGATATAACATAGCTTGGATGACGTAACTATGACTAAAAATCACATGCATGGTGCATGGTAGATGAGTCATCAGAAAAATACGATTTTGGTTTGTGTTTTGACTTGGACCTTTTTACTTTACTTACACTTTATCTGGACAAAAATTAGGTTCTTGGTTTGTTTCTATGCAAAATGAGAGGGCTGTGGGAAGGGTTCTCTTCATTGTAAAGGAAGAGGTGTATTGTGTGTGCAATGGACTTCTTCTACAATCCATTCTCCAGTCCAGTGGGCCAACGCATCGGTACGTGTTTGAATGTTGACTAAGATCCTTCGGCAATAAATGCCTTGACCTTGGTCGTCTAATGACTTCTTTCTCATTTCATAGAAAAATCAACGTCGGAAGATCAAGGTTCGGATCTGTTGGTGGTGCAGCTGGAGATTTGTGATATTATCAACGAGACGGAGGAAGGGTGAGTGTAGGGTAGCTGCGCTGCGTGCTGTGTGTAGGGTTGCTGCGCTGCGTGCTGTGTGTACATTCTGCACAGTCATGCACATTCTTGGCAAATTCTTGTGCAGTACATGTTTATAAGAAAGAAAAAGGACCAAAGAGCTAAAAGTTACACTACAATGTTCACTAACACCACCAGTTACTAAACAATCAGCTCAATTAGCTCTTTGGTCCTTTTTCTTTCTCTTCGTTATTGTGTTCGCACATTTAGCTTCATGAGAGTCCGATGACATTCTAAATAGGGCGTACTACTATTGCATGAATTGCATAATACAGGTTACCCAATGCTGTAGACAGCAAGCTGTTTCTGCCATAAAAGCCTCATCAGTACAGCTACTAGCTTTACGTAAGCCGAGTTGCCAGCCAGGGTGCAAAGGAGACCCCAGACATTAAGACAGCTCGTTGCTCCAGCGCCAGAGTGCTCATACTACGAAAGGTAGCGAGCGAAGCGTAGTGCAGCAGCACTAAAGCAGCCTACCGAGAGTGCTAAACAAGACAAATGCCAAGGAGCGAGATACCCAATGCTGTAGAAAGCAAGCTACAGATTACAATTTGAAAATAGTTGAACAGTTCGCGTAGTAGAATACTGTTTGAAAATAACTCGAGACATCTGTACCGCTTCTGTATTGCAGGAATCTAATTCCTATAAACAAAGTGTAAATTTAATCAGTAAGGGAGTCTTGGCTTTACAGTTGAGTTCGTGTACCTTTTTTATTGTCAAGAAACAAAAATGTTGACTAGTAAAAATGTGTATATTTAACAGAGAAGTTGAAAAGGGAAACAAACATTTGGGCAGAAAATGGACAGTCATCACCAGGAATCGAACTGGGGACCTTTGGTTATAGGCCAGGTTTGGTCTTCGACTGCATTGTTAGCTATGGTGTACTGTAAAACAACAAACTTTCGCGGCGGCTAAATTTAGCGTTTTGGCAAACTGGACCAGTTAGCGGCGATTAATTTTAGCGATTTTTGCCTTCCACCGAAAATCAAAGAATTTTATTTTACGAAGCCTCGGAGTGCTGGATGCATAGCGCATGAAGAATGAGAGAAGGAATCAAGGAATGTTAGAAGGAATCAAGGCATCAAAGAGAACCATAAGGTATGTACTAGTACTGGGAGAAAGGATGGCACGTTCGAAGAGGGATCATCGGAAGGCTTTCTCTTCGAACTGCTGAGCCACTGCGATACTCATCGCGATAAAATTCAGAAGACTTCTTCGAGCAGTACAACACTAAAATCTACGCAACAGCAAGCTGGCTAAACGCTCCAAGAAGTTCAACAACACTCTCCACAACACTGAGACATTCTCCAGTCGATCGTTTTATTCTCTTCTGGTTCAAGTCGCCGTACTCCAACGACAACTAATGTTTCAACGGTTACTTGCAAGACTGGTGTTGGTACGTAACCCGTCGTTGCAACAGCTGCGCGCTTTGGTTGGACATAGCCGGCCGTGCAAGCATCGATCAGCGCTGTGAATGTACAGCCAGTGCAGTGAGTGATGTACTGTACAGATCTGTGGCGCAAAACGATCGATCATCGACACATCGCATAGTACGTAATAGTACAAAATTTCATATTCGCGAGTCAAACTTTCGCGATTCGACCCTGCTCGCGAAAGTCGCGAAAGTTAATCGCTCGCGAAAGTTTGTCGTTTTACAGTAGTCGCTATCCCAGCTTTCAACAATTTCTTCAGACTTCGAAACTCACGCTTGAACTTCACAGGATGTTGGGACACAGCCCTCACTGTATCCACACACTTCACGTGCAAGCTAGCGTGCGTGGAGTCCCAGTGCATAACATTCATTTAAGAGGGATTCACAGAAGCTTTTTTTGCGATGCGACAAGCGATGCGACGTGATCTGCGACGGACGCGTGCGATGCGAACTCGCGAAATACCATTCACAGAAGAAATCAGCGATGCGACAACGCTTTGCTGATTTGGCGCGAAGTTCAATGCGGGTGGATACGTCACCATGGTATTCGCGCGGTTTGGTACAACTAAACGTTACTTGTACAAATTTATAGGCAAGTCTTGAACCTTTGTACAACTTTGCTGTAGAAAAGGTCAAAATTGTACGCCAAATCGCTTGTCGCATTGCAAAAGTTGAGCCAAGCTCAACTTCTGCGATGGCCCAGTTGCGGCAGTTGCGTGGGGTTCGAGATGGCTGCGATTTGGGGATTTCCCGGTTTCGCGGCAGTCGCATCGCAAAAAAGCTTCTGTGAATCCCGCTTTAGTTTGAGGGAGAATATTTAAAAAGGCGACGTGGAGACAATACTCTTAATAATGCAATGAATAAAACTATATGCGCACTCATATCACAACCATACCAACGAATGAAGTATTCCAGAACGCTTTCTCGTCACAATTATCAATGGAATTTGTGACTAAAGGGAATGATGAAACTACAATAGGATTTATACACTTGGAGTGAAAAAACGAGGATACAAGAATAATAAGAAAATTAGCACAAACTTCGTACAAATTGCACTGGTAATTATACTTGTATCCTCGTTTTTTTCACTCCAAGTGTATAAATCCTATTGTAGTTTCATCATTCCCGTTAGGCACGAATTCCATTGATAATTGTGACCAGGAACCGTTCTGGAATACTTTATTCGTTGCAATGGTTGTGATATGAGTGCGCATATAGTTTTATTCATTGCATTTTTGAGGGAGAAGTTTATATTTTTCAGCCGGCATTGGAAACGTCGGTGGTGTTGAGCTGATAAGCCACAATATAGGGGATTATTGATACAATCATGTGTCTGTGCTGTTGCATAGACATTCTGCTCTGCGAGAGTTCTGTCAAGGTTTGTGGGGAGGGTGCATTCAAATCCCGGTTTTGGCATACGGAACTCGCGTGCGGGCTCACACACATGTTTCTGAGATGCAAAATAGTTTTGGAGTTCTGTCAAAGTTGGTGGTGGGGTGGGGTGTACATTCAAATCCCGGTTTTGGCATACGGATCTCTCGTGCAGGTTTACACACACACACACACACGTTTCTGAAAAGCAGAATAGTTTTGGCCCAAACTGTAGGCATTGATGTTTGATCACAAGAGTGTATTCAAAACTTCAAAAGTGTCTTGTTCTCTGTGTTGTTGGTATCCATGACGGTGTTCATCTAAGTGTATCCATTTCTATGTTGTTGACATGTTCAGTGCTCAAGATGCGGTGAAAGCGCTGAGAAAACGTTTGTTTGGCAACAAGAACTGGGTTATTGTCCTCAATGCACTCGCGGTGAGTATAGCCGTCTAGTGTCGTTGCTTTTACCTGTAGGGTGGTCCTGTACTGCTGGGTTTCATCTTGTCATCATTGGTTCACGGTGAAGAGAAGCAACATGCCTGCCAACCGTTGCAAAACCTGAGATCAGAACAGTGAAGTGCTAACGTTTGAACATTAACGAGAGAGCTTGGAAGCTCAGGGCCCTACGCTATGCTTTTTTGCCTTGATGACCTAGACAAAAAAAAGCATAGGGATGTTATAAATTCTTTAAAAAATTCAATGAATATAACTAAATGCGCACTCATATCACAACCATGGGGACGAATCATGTATTCCAGAACGTTTTCTTGTCACAATTATCAATGGAATTCGTGACTAAAGAGAATGATGAGACTACAATAGGATTTATACACTTGGAGTGGAACAGCGAGGATACAAGCATAGTAAGAAAAATAGCACAAACCTAGGAACAATTTGCACAGGTAGTAAACTATAGGTGAGGTGAGAAATGATAGGAAATTCAGCAAGTGCAGTGTGACAATGGACATGCATGTGCAAGTGTGTGTGAGTGCGAATTTACTGGAATAGCGTAAGTGCGGTGACATTTTCTTTTTGTTTACAAAGATTTGGATCACGAATGCGAATGTAGACTGCTTCTAAAACTTTCAACTGCTTGAAACTACTTGCAGAACGAACAACACTGAACCAAGAATCATCATAACTTTCACGACACACGGGGTTAGACAACAAATGCAATTTAATTGCCGATGTATTCTTCTTCTTCTCACCGCCTCCGCCTTCACTTGGTTTCTGACCGCCACCGTCCTTCACACCATCTGCACCATCATCGTCATCATCGTCATCGTCCTCTTCATCGCTGCCACCTTCACCTGTCGTCGGCTCTCCCAGCAACTGACCACCGGGTTCATCATCGTCACTGCACACGTCGCTTCCACACTCCTCCTCCAGCTGCCGTCGCGTTCTCTTCCTGACCGGTCTTCCCTTGCCATTGCCAAACACCTGACAGTCGTCAACTCTTCTGCTGGCATCATCCATATCCGGAGAATTTCGATGCATCTTTCCAGTCACCTCTGCAAACCGAGCTGCCGCCAGCCGTTTGCTCCTTCTCAGCTTTGGTGAGTTGCGGTTGTCTGCGTCCGGCATACCGGTACTCGCTGATAATGAAGATAAGACACAGTGTTCGTCTTTGTTTACATTAATGTTTGTTCCCGATTTCTGCGTGCTGTGTTGGTTTTTCCGAGACACCGTTTGTGGAGCAGAAGCCTCTGCCGGAACGGACAGTGGAGTCAGGTGCTTACGTGGTCGGCCACGCTTTGGTCGGGAGGACCTAGCCGCCTGTGACAATAGTGAGAGCGGCACGTGTTGTTTGATACGGTCGGACAGATGTTGAAGGGTCCTACCAACATACCGACTACCACATTGTACGATTTTGATCTTTTCTACAGCAAAGTTGTACAAAGGTTCAAGAGTTGCCTATAAATTTGTACAAGTTGTATCAAACCGCGCGAATATCATGGTGACGTACCCAAATCAGCAAGACTTTGTCGCATCGCTGACTTCTTCTGTGAATGGTATTTCGCAAGTTCGCATCGCACGCATCCATCGCAGATCGCGTCGCATTGCGTGTCGCATCGCAAAAAAGCTTCTGTGAATCCCGCTTTACCCTCTGGTTATGGAACTTAATAAAGTGAGCTTTAGTTGCCTGCATAATTTCGGAAGCATCATCAATGCCTCCAGCAAGCACAGTGCCCCCCCCCCCCTCCCCTCTCCCTCTCCCCCTCCTCCTCCCCTCTCCCCCTCTCCCCCTCCCCCTCTCGGCGGAGATTGCCTAACAAGCTCCATGGTGTACAAATTAGCAGTAAACAAAGATGCTGACGACAAAGGGTGCAGCAGGCTCACTGAACCCGAACCTTGTTTCAAGGACCAGTACAACAAACCTACCCTTAGCTTCATGCACCAATGCTATCAGAGCTTCATGCACCAATGCTATCAGAGCTTCATGCACCAATGCTATCAGAGCTTCATGCACCAATGCTATCAGAGCTGCTGTGCAGAATTGTCCAAGCGTGTGTGCAACCTGAAATGTGCCAGAAAACCTCATGCCCATGCAGTGCAAAGTACATAGAAGAGAGAAACCATATTCCAACAAGACCAAGAGGTGCTACCTGTGCAGAACTGAGAAGCTGACCATTGTCAGCAGCGCGAGGAATCCAACTAACGTGTTACTTGCAGCAGCACCAGTTTCTGTGCACAGTAGGGACTGGCATTGCAGACATCGGTGCTAACTATATCCCACACCACTGATGATTGCGCCCACACCCTAGAATGTTTGCATGTTGGGTGACACCCGCTCTAATCTTCACCACCAACTAGTTAACGCCATGCCTCACACATAGACAGTTTCATTATGATCAGTCCCTGGGTTTTACCACCAGTTGTGCGATGGTTGCTTCGGCATGAAACTTTAAGTTGCAGCACAATCCAACTGGACTTCTTCTCTTGATATGAACAGATGGCTCTGCCCTCTGTGCCTTGAGCACTTTCCTGGCAGTTGACACAGCTTTCTGTGTACATGTACCAGCCAGAATAGATTGTGATGTCAGTCTTTGCCGTCAACTGCCCACATGCTGTTGTTACTGCTGCTATCTCTTTTGCTGTTACTGCTGCTAACAAAAGTTACTGCTGTTGCCCCTGCTGCCTGTGCTGCTGCCAATGTTGCCCATTGCACTGGTGTTCTTCACGCTGCTGCTATTAACGTTATCACTATGATTGTCTGTGTAGATCCTGGAGATATGTGTGAAAAACTGTGGGCATCGCTTCCACATTTTGATCACCAAGAAGGAGTTTGTGGACCAGCTAGTGACGTTGACTCGTCCCAAGGTATGCTTTATGTTAAAGTCTTGTTGGCGATGCAGGCGATGGTAAAAATTGTTCTATTAAAGGGGAAGTATACCCTAAAATCAAATTTTCACCAGTTGTAGTCTTCTGGGTGCTGAGTCGAATGGTCTTGGTCCGAGGAAGCTGCGACGCTCCCTTCCTACTTGAATCCCAATCGAACTCGCGCACTTCCACCGAAACTGGGTGACTGCGCCCTACTAGATGGGGATTTGTATGCAAAATGTCACTAAAAGCGCCATTTCGTTCTTATAAAAGCACGGATGACCGCGATTGGCCCATATGTTGTAGTCTTTTGGACGCTGAGTCGACTGGTTTTGGTCCGAAAAGGCTGCGATGCAGCGTTCCTCCTTTATTCCCAATCGAACATGGTTGAACAAGCGGTCACGTGCTCCTGGGTGCCCAAATCACCTGGTCACCGCGCCAGCAGGCGACAACTTTCACACCAAGGTTCAACTCGAGTTCAACTCGAGTGACAGGACTGCACCCAAAAAAGGTCAAACAGGCTAGTAAGTTGTACCCTGCAGGCACGGTGACCAGGTGACTGGTGTACGCAGGAGCACGTGACCGCTTGTTCAACCATGTTCGATTGGGAATAAAGGAGGAACGCTGCATCGCAGCCTTTTCGGACCAAAACCAGTCGACTCAGCGTCCAAAAGACTACAACATATGGGCCAATCGCGGTCATCCGTGCTTTTATAAGAACGAAATGGCGCTTTTAGTGACATTTTGCATACAAATCCCCATCTCGTAGGGCGCAGTCACCCAGTTTCGGTGGAAGTGCGCGAGTTCGATTGGGATTCAAGTAGGAAGGGAGCGTCGCAGCTTCCTCGGACCAAGACCATTCGACTCAGCACCCCGAAGATTACAACTGGTGAAAATTTGATTTTAGGGTATACTTCCCCTTTAAAGGTGACCAGAAGTTGGTCAATACTCCAAGCAATGGTGTCCGAAACTATCCCAAAGTACACACTTGACTTGCCCTTCACGCAAATGTTATCATCACAACGAAGTATCTTGGTCTATGGTGCACGAAGCAATGAGCTGGTACACTGCACCCTGTACGTGTGTGTGTGTGTGTGTGTGTGTGTGTGTGTGTGTGTGTGTGTGTGTGTGTGTGTGTGTGTGTGTGTGTGTGTGTGAATTAGACAGTTATCTGGCGCAAGTCTTGATCTGTCTCATTCAGATCTTGTTCGCTATCGTTGCTATAAGAGAAAATCTGTGGGTGCACATCCAGTGCATTTGCAGATTTGCGTGCTTCTCTTGCGACGGGCGTATACATGGTACATGGTACATGGTGTGTGTGTGTGTGTGTGTGTGTGTGTGTGTGTGTGTGTGTGTGTGTGTGTGTGTGTGTTGCACCGATCCCTATGATTATATGCTCCATCTGTCAGGAGTACACTGCGAAAAGCGAAGCACAGCGGTTGAGGGATATGAAATGGCTGGCGCAGGACGGAAATCTCATATACTTGGAGCATTTATCACGCTTTCGCTGCTCTCCAGCAGTGGAGATGTGGCGGTATGGTTATGATGGTCGACCTCAGTGTCTTCTTCTTGCAGGGTCCTTTCTAGCAAACCCAAAGATTGTGAACATGCAATAAGTAAAACTGAAGTTAATGTCCAAAGAACATGAGAATAGCGATGTTCTGCGCTATAATATGGAAACGTGACGCGAAGAATCCCTTGATCACTCTTCGCGTTCCCGTAACGTATAGAAAACCTGTTCTGCTCTTCGTTCATGCAAAGAAATCCCGCAGAATGTGTACTGGGAATAACATGGGCGTGTAGGGCTCTGCTGCTTTGGGGGCCCTACACTCACCGCATGCACTCCGGGCTGTGCAGTGAACGCGTATCTGCTCTATTGTAGAGGTCAGATTTAACTTGCCATCACTGTGTGTGTGTTCATGTATGTGTATAGACGGTGCAATGAGTTGTGCTGTGCTTGTATTTGTGTGTGTGTGTGTGTGTGTGTGTGTGTGTGTGCGTGTGCGTGCGCGCATGTGCGCGTGTGTGTGTGTGTGTGTGTGTGTGTGTGTGTGCGCGTGCGCGCATGTGTGTTTGTATTGTTTAGACCGCAGCACCTAGTTCTGTACAGGAGAGAGTTCTTGGCCTGCTTCAGACATGGGCCGACAGTTTTCGAGGACGCTTGGAGCTCGATGCTGTTTGTAGTGCGTATGATGAACTTCGCCGGCAAGGTAGGCGCGTGTTTAGACATCAACCTTGTGTGAAGGTGGGCCCTTCGCGTAGCTTTGTGTACAAGACAAGTCCTCCACTCCGCTGAGGTACGAGTTTTCGCTTCAGCTCCCTCCAATGTAAACCGTTCGCAACATGAGTATTGTATTCAACTTTAAACGTGTTATGCACAGTTTGAACAGCTGTACAAAAGCACCCTTTGTCGCGTTGGGGCTCATTTATTCATTTTTAATATATTGCTCCATTGATATCACCGTTCCGGGATGGACATTATCGGAGCAAGATGTGTGTTCGCTCGCTCATACATGTCGTGTGTATATGTGTGTGCATTATTTTGTGCACGTATGTTTCTGCAGGTGTTGAATTTCCTGCTCAAGACTTGGACACGCTTGCTCCTATCTTTACGCCCAGCCGGGTAAGCATCATAAACCTGGAGAGTGATAGGACTTCACACTCAGACTCAAAGACAAGACAGTATACCCTCTAGCTGGTCTACGTCCAGTAGATCTATGCAATGAACAGTGTACACCGCGATTGTGCAGTCCACGTTGAACAGTATGCTTGTGTATACAGTGCAGTGCGGTGTTGGCTAGGCAGTAGGCATACATGGGATTCTAACTGTATCACTGCACGCGAGTCACAGATACAAGGACTGCAGGTTGTTGTCTGCACGGTGCACTGCACTGGTACAGTGACTGGTGTACACATCAGCACGGGACTATGTTTGATTGGGAATAAGGGCCGGTCGCTGTAGCGCAGTCTCCTCGGACCATGACCATTCAATTCAACTTCCCCTTCAACTCACTGATGGAACATAATACTGTATGGGTGAACAGTAATACTGTGCATTCTTGTTTTCTGTTGACATACTCTTACACGGGTGTCTGCTGTATTCAGTAAACAACTGTGGTCTACACCCCCCCCCCCCCCCCTTCCCTGTGGATTTGGTGCTAAGATGCTGTGTGTTCTTGGCTGCTGCCATATTACACAGTTCTGCTGTATGAGCAATGCCTATCAAACTGACTAACGTACTGCGTGTGTACGTATGTGTGCGTGTGTGTGTGTGTGTGTGTGTGCATGTGTGTGCCCCTGTGCGTTCGCACGCCTGCATGCATCTGTGTTCTTTCCTTTTCTTGTGTATTTCGTAGAGTGTTCCTCAGAATGAGAGCCAAGGGACAACACAAGCAGCATTGGTATGTCAACTTGAACACCGTCCACCATTAGTGTCGTATCCGGTCGCCCCTAGTTTGACCTAAGGCCGAGGTAGACACGAACTAACTTACTAACATTCCTATTTCCCTAGCCCATGTAGTGGTGGTCATGAGTAATCCGCATGTTTGGAAACTTTCCTGTCTCTCTCTCTCTCTCTCTCTCTCTCTCTCTCTCTCTCTCTCTCTCTCTCTCTCTCTCTCTCTCTCTCTCTCTCTCTCTCTCTCTCTCTCTCTCTCTCTCTCTCTCTCTCTCTCTCTCTCTCTCTCTCTCTCTCTCTCTCTCTCTCTCTCTCTCTCTCTCTCTCTCTCTCTCTCTCTCTCTCTCTCTCTCTCTCTCTCTCTCTCCGTACAGGAAACACATACAGATGCTAGTCAAACTGGACACGTAAATCCAGCTATTGACACCCAACAAACCACACAGGGTTCATCTGGCATGAGTTCAGGGCAGCAGCAGCAACAGCAGCAGCAACAACCAGCAGCATATATACCTATGGCAATGCCGGCTGCAGTAGTAGCACCACAGCATGTGCATATTCCTGCCGTACCAGCGGTGTCGAATGACGTTGAACCACTTGTCAGCAGTCCCACGTCGGTAAGACATCGTGTGTGTGTGTGTGTGTGCGGTGTGTGTCTGCACATGCGTGTGTATGTGTGCGCGTGTGCATGCATTCGCACGTGTGTGTTTGCAAGTTTGTTTGGTTTGTGAAATGCCGCTTGATGATGGCTATCACTCTCATCATTGAGTTCAGTAGCTTGGCAGTGTGATGTGTTTGTTATCTTTTGCGTGAAAACTTTGTACATAGGAGATCTGACAAGACATACTCCCTTGGGGTAAGGGAGATGCAAAACCGAACCAGATCGAAACACATCGACACAGACTCCCTCACATGAAGCCCTCTTGTCCAATGGCACACCCCCAAGATAATGAACACCAGCATAGGTATACATGTAGGCTGGCACAGAGCTGGGGCTTTAGAACTCCCAAGGTCGGCTTCACCAACAGAGTTGTCTTTGCTGCATATGGAAGATATCCATCCATGCGTTGGGCCAATCTTCTCATTACATTTCCAGCCAGAATGTATTGCATACATCCTGCCACCCGACTCGACTATCTCATTCGCCATAGCACATAGCACAATGTACGTGGCCACAGTGGATGAAATTCACGAACTCTGTATCCAATCCATTGCTGTGCAGCACAGTACATTCCTGTGTGTGTGTGTGTGTGTGTGTGTGTGTGTGTGTGTGTGTGTGTGTGTGTGCGCGTGCGTGTGTGTGTGTGTGTGTGTGCGTGCGTGTGTACATGTGTGCATGTTTGTTCGCTAGATTGCGAAGTTACGTTCAGAGCTGGACATGGTGCAGCGCAATGCGTCAGTTCTCTGTGAAATGCTGCAGTGTTTGACGCCGGGTGAAGAAGCTACAGCCGACTATGAGCTATTAACTGTGAGTACATGTACAGTGTACAGTGAGTCAACCTTGCCTATAACAACCCTTGATCGGGCATGATAAAGTGTTCACGTTGTTCTCGAGTTGTCGTTATTCGCCAGGTTAATAGTTTGCAGTCAGTTGGTTACTTGATATGAAGACAGTGCTGTTATTGGCGAGTTCTATATTGGAGGTTGCTATTTGCGAGGTTGCCTGTACTGTATTTGCAAGAGAATACTGCCCCTTCCCACCCCTCTACTTCTGGAGTGTATTTTGACCTACCCTAGTCCGGGTGGTACATTTGATTTCGTACATGTCATTTGTGGAGTATTGCCCAGGGTTTTTAACTCCGCAAAGTGCATGCAAAGTCCTATTTACTCTACTACGGCTATTAACCCTTTCAGGGTCACAGTGCATTTACTACGTCTGGCCACTGAAATTCAGTGCATCAGTACAATTGTGGAGATAGCAACAAACAAATTGTCACAACATTTTTGTTTCTCAACGGATTCTCACAACTTATGGCTTACTGGAAAGCTCCTTTCCTGCTCGTCATCTTCCACGTACTTTCAGAGCGTACAGCACCTCAAGGACGCCCCTAGCCTCGCCAACGTTGTCCCTACCGTGCGCCAGTTTGGCATCAAGACCACGCTCAACTATTTCCTTCGGTCTGGGGCTCATACTCAACTTCGAACTAAGATTCAAATTGCATCGAGCTCGTGAGATTCAAGCGATTCAAATGATATACTCATACGTCATGCTGCCTTTCACACATCATTCGGAAATCCCCTTGAATGACTTGAAAGTCGCAAAAATATCGCCAGACAGAAAGTAAGAAAAAATGTTCAGATCAAAATCACGCGTTCAATTTATTGCCGCTCGATCATTTGTTGAGCTATCGCCACACCGAAAACACCTCTGGAAAGCCCTTTCCAAGACCGTTCCAATGAGCTATAGATCTTCGCGATGCGATAATCCGTTCCAGAGTTATGGCTGTTTGTACAGTGATCTATCAGTGCGTACGGTACGTGGACTGTACAAAAAGTATAGCGCGAGTATACTCGTCATTGCCCAGACGCGATGGGGTCTGCATGACGAGTATACTCGTCATAAACCCGGAAAGGGTTAAAGGGGCCATCTGGCATTATCAATAATTATCATGGAACGAAAAAGTTTAGTTATGACCCTCACCCACCCACCCACCCACCCACCCACCACCCTGAATGAAAAAAATATATATCGGCTTGACAGCTAGAATTGATTGGTGTTTCAGCTATCGGTATTTTTCAAAACGAAACTCTCCTCGACCCACCCACGTGTGTGTGCGTGTGCGTGCGTGCGTGCGTGTGTGTGTACGACTGCACTAGTCTCTTGGTGAGACATGCCGGGATATGCAAAGTCGAATCTATCAACTTCTATCAACTCAGCAACAGGAGGAGCTGATCGGTAAGTTGTGCTTTGTCATTACGTGCACACATGTGTGTATGGAGGGGGGGGGGGGGGGGGGTTGCATGTACACTGCCCGCGTCCATATTGTGACGTTTTGTTGACATCGGACGGATATAATGCCAGAGAGTCAAGAGACAATTCTGTTATAGTCTACGTTCCTAGCGCAGGAGAACCGCGCACGCGCGGGTACGTGACATAAAGGAAGTGTGAGCAGGACTAAAGTACGATTTATGCTACAGTTCAAGCTGACGGAACACGTGCAGCGCTACACCGTCACCGTGTACCACGGGAAAGCAAACAGAAATAGAGGAGACACGAGATAGCAGGCATGAACTCAGGGTCAAACTGATAAGCGCGTAACGTGAAGCATGCAGTATACGGAGACAAGAGAAAGACACAGCAGACCTTCGTGTAAGAAAGTGCAGGAGAGTGAACAATCACTCTCGCTATCCTCTCAAGGAGAGTTGTGGGAGAGCAGTCCCCACCACCCTCCCCCCCCCCCTCCCCCCATCGCTCACCGTATCTATCCAAGGCGAACACATTACGGGGTTTTTTCAACATCTTGCCATACCCCAATCGGATTCAATACCCAATAGCTGCCGAATTCGTTCTGGAAAATCGCCGAACGCACTACAAATGGAAGCTGTTCGAACCACAACTTTGGTTTCCCTTCATCGATTTTGACAATCTCAAGCATTCTGGAAATTGGCAAGAGGAACACACCAGTGGAATTTTCACCAGCTGGAGCGCTACTGCAGTGGCACTATAGCCCTGGGAAGACAAGTGCAACCGGAAAGTTGAGACAATTCGCTAAGATCCATGGTATTTTTGTAGTATTCATCGTAGAGCGCTGCTTTCTTTTGTAGCTGACCGCTAAAAGTATATGAGCCAGCACAAGCGAAAACTCAGATAATGGACTTGGAGGGCGATTTTGAGATTTCAATACGAGAGCTTTCAGAATTTCATGCAGAAACCAATAAAAAAAACCAGACTCAAAAATCTCAAGAAACACCATAGATACAGTCATTTGTCTGCACCTATGTCCTTGCGAAACATACGGAAAATGATGTTCAAGCGCACGCAAACAATCCAGCGGTGTTGAACGAATAATTGATGGCCCAAACAAAGCTTTCCCAATGAAGCAGATGGAGAGTATTATTAAATCAAGTGAAAGATACTGTACATATAGGTAACATGATATTGAGTCTTCTATACATCATAGCATCAAGAGACTCTTTAGAGTACATGAGGGCATCTACGCAAATAGGCGTAATCAAGAGCAATGTTACGCAAGTGTGTAACTGAGCAATGGCACAAGTATATACACGAATATAGAAACGAATGTGAAATGATCAAAGTGCTATGTCAGGCTGGTCGGCGAGGATGTTGTCTCACTCTGCAGATGCAGTAGGTGGCGGGCAAACTTCATCTTGGAACTCTGATGGAACATGCTCGCGAATGTGAGAAAAGAGGTACTGCTGCCTCTCTGCAGTCAGTCCTGCAGGACTGAGGACTTTCGGCAGACCAGCACGAAGCAAATCTTCTGCAGGCACTTTCAGCAAGGCAAGCCTCTGCTCAGCAGCATGAACATTCTCTTTGCAATACACTACACCAGGCTCAGCACTGGAAAAGCGCATGTAGTGAAGCTTGGAAATGCCGACCAAGGGCTTAAAGAACTGCATAAAGAACTTATCCCACTCACGCCACTCCAGATTGGAGCCAGGAATAAGCTGCGCCTGATTGCATGCAGCACTACCATTCACTACATCAGCTAACTGGGCCATGCTATAGATATTATTGCGCCTATAGCTGCGTTTCAGCAAACCGAAGCAGCCATCGACCAAACATCTGGTGTGGCCTGTGATCATGAAATGCAGCTCAATACACTTATGCAAGCCAGACATACAGCGCCATGCAAGGTAGGAAACAACAGTTTTATTCTTGTTCTGGCCACAGCAATTATCTGCAGAGAGGATACACTGTTCTTCGCCATAACCATGGAGTGCGAAGAAATGGTGGAGGAGACTTACAACGCTGTTGGGGCCATGGCTCTTGGAGCCATTTGTGCCGATGGTGTCCGTCTCGTCAATCAAGTAGTTCACTTGGTGCGGAACAGCTTCGTTGTTCACCCCAAACACCTGCACTTTCCTTGGAACTTTAAAGTAGAGAGGACCTACTTGTCGCCACTCCTGAGGTATGCTGACGTTTTGCGCAAAATCAAATGTATAATGCGTTTTGAACGTGGCTTGCGAGCATGGAGCACATGGTGGCGCACACTGGACACTGGCTTGTAGCTGTTCGGCAGCAGAGATAGTAGCGCCACGATAGTAGTCTCTCTCATGTTGTGCTGCTGCAATGTGATCTTGCAGTGCTGAACAGGCGGCCACCTTATCCTGCTCAGTCAAAGCTGACATGACCCGACGGCGTAGTTTCTCGCACAGATCACACACGTCAGTCCGTGGAGACATAAATTTCAAATGCGGCGTACATTGGTGCCAGATGCTGCGGAAGGAAGATTCTCCCATGACACGAATGCCAGCCGAGTTCCCTGCAGTAACATACAGTTTGTGCACAGCCTTGTATGTCTGGCTTGCAGGCAAAAACACGGGAGGAACGCCATCTCGACCATGTAGTGGTGCAGGGTGTGGGATGCCATAGTGTTCGCCGTGAGACTTTATGAAAGTAACCGCGTATTTGACTTCCTCAAACGTGAAAGCGTTTGATGGTCGTCGACCAGCATTGCCGTGTCGCCGCGCCGTTGCACCGTTGCTTTCCACGTGCTTACACAAACTCCACAGTTTATCTTTCTTGATGTTAAAGATGTAGCGGAACGCACCGGCACACACTCGCTTGCTCTGGAAAGCGTACTTGAAAGCTGAGCGTTTACGCTTTTTCTGGTGGACAGTGAGCTTGTCTCCACAATGCATAGCCTCCAGCACACCACTCAGCAGTAAATCAAAATCAGGTCGCTCCAGCTCTGCCATGTTCAGCCGATTCTGATCAACATCTTCAATAGAAAATAGTGACAAACAATTTTTTGAACATCCACATCTTGGCAAAACTGTGGCTGCAGTTGCAGCATGTTGGGGAACGTCCATACCAGCATCTAGGTCCTCAAATACATCGTCAGTATCGCTTGTCTCTTCTTCTCCATCACCGTCGTCGGTGCTGCTCAGTTCATCATACCGATGGGCAGCAATATCGATGTCGAGCTCCTTGTCGAGGAAATGGCTGTCACTACTGTCATCATCGTCGTCAGATTCCTCCAAAACATTTTGGACAGGTGGCCCGTCAAGAGCAACTGAGCGTACAAATTCTTCCTCGTCTTCAAGGAGCAGAGCAGCGAGGGCATCGTCCACGGTGAACGTAGCTCGTCTGCTCATGCTGTCAAAGAATCATCGACTAACTTCAAAGGCCAAACTATTTTCAAATTTCAGAGCGAAGAGTGCAAGCACGATCCTCCAGAGTAAAATCGACTTCAGTCAAGCGACCGAAACTCAGCCGTCCCTTGACGGATTTCCTTCAAATAAAAAGCACAAGAAAGCTGAGGAACTCAGCTGCGCGATGGTCCGCGCCATAGAACACTACGTCACATACTTGTGACGTAGCAAAGCATTGAACACGCGACACGCTTCGCTGAATGGGGATTTCCCGTATGCAAACTTCTCAAGCCGTTTTCTCAGTTCATGACGTAGCTCCGTTATCCGGTTTTTCGCTTGCGCTGGCTCATATGGAGACAAGAGAAAGACACAGAGCTCAGTACGTACCGAGTACTACACACTAAACTCGTACATGTGAATGTCACGACACATATGTGATGCATTAGTGTTTAGTAAGATTCACTATGCATAATGTTTTCTTGCTGACGTGTGTTGGGTGTAGGTGATCTGCTGACGGCCAATGATGTCTTGAATTCTTCTTTTACTGAGTACGAGAGTTACCAATCAGCACGTTCCATGATCGTATCACAGGCGAGTCCTACAGCAACAACAACATCAGCAGCAGCCACTACTACTGCCTCAAGCCAGCAACCCGCTCAAGCCGGTATGATTTTTCTTCAATTTCGTGATTTGTCTTTTACTCAGACACTCGTTATAGCCTGAAGTTAATTTAAACTTGTGTGTCTCGTGCTGATTGGTAGTGATTACCCATTCATGCAGAGATTTTAAACGGACAGAATACTGGCAATCGACGAGCATACTGCTTGGACTGCTGAACCAAGTGTGCCACAGGACCCACACGCACTGCATATATATTTTTTATGTGTACCGTATTTCCCCGATTGTGAGGCGCACTCGATTATAAGTCGCACCCCCACTTTGAGGTTTGAACCACATTGTTTCGATACATGCATGTAAGTAGGAAGTCACTCTCGGTTGTAAATCGCGTCCCCTTCTTTGCCCTTGAGGTTCAGTGTAAAAAGGTGTGACTTATATCCGGGGAAGTACGGTATACTAGTAGCTTATACGAATGTACTTGGAAGTAGTTTTGTGATTGGGTAGTCTTTCTCAGCAGCTGCATGTACTTTTGTGTTAGAGAATACGAATGTGCCAGGCGAGAGGGTATGATGGGGCTTATGGCTGAAGAATGTCATGCAACTCCTAGGACTGCAAGTGTGGCGTGTAAGCAAGTCTGCATTGTCGTACTTGAGTCTGCAGATGCTTCGGAGTATCCAACTACCAATGCACCCAGCACTACCCGGAACCAGTGAACGGCGGATAGGACATGTCTGTTCTACAATAAGTAGAATGTATTGCAGTGTAGACAACTGCCGGCTTGAGGCAACGCAAGTACGATTGCTTCCGTTGGATTTCTTCTCACTCTCCTGCTTTGTTTTTTTTGCTGGCATACGTGCATGCATGTGCATGTGCATGTGTGTGTGTGTGTGTGTGTGTGTGTGTGTGTGTGTGTGTGTGTGTGTGTGTGTGTGTGTGTGTGTGTGTGTGTGTGTGTGTGTGTGTGTGTGTGTGTGTGTGTGTGTGTGTGTGTGTGTGTGTGTGTGTGTGGTGTGTGTGTGTGTGTGTTTGTGTGTATGTGCATGCATGCATGTTGTGTACGTGAATATATGCGCGTGTGTGTGTGTGTGTGTGTGTGTGTGTGTGTGTGTGTGTGTGTGTGTGTGTGTGTGTGTGTGTGTGTGTGTGTGTGTGTGTGTGTGTGTGTGTGCGTGCGTGCATGTGTGTGCGTGCATGCATGTGTGTGGATATGTGTGTGCATGTGTGTGGATATGTGTGTGCATGTGTGTGTACACTGTACACGGGTACGGGTTTTTACAGGACATTTGATTAACCTAGATAGCCCGGATGCTTCGCTGTCACCAGCAGCCGCTACTGGCACTAGTGCTGGCCTGATTGGTGGACAAGATGATGACATCACTGCTCGTTTGGGACAGATGGGTATGTATGCGAAAGACATTGCTAGTCATTTACTGCTACTGCTATCTGTCGTATGAAGAGCCAATGAGAGGGGGGGGGGGGGGGGGGGGGGAGGAGGAGGATATAAAGCTTTGTGTGCTGAGGGTGCTGAGGCTGTTAGTGTAAATTTGCTCAATGCTTTTGTGCGAGAGCCTGGATGTAGCAAGACCAGATAAGTGAGGTCTGACCACTCCTGCTCAATCTACTACTGGTATTTGCCAAGAGTACTGTGACCATGGAGGGATATGAATTAGTGGAGGCAGCCCTTGTGAATGTGAGTTGCAACGTGCTTCCTCGCTACTGCCTGCCTGCCTGCCTGCCTGCCTGCCTGCCTGCCTGCCTGCCTGCCTGCCTGCCTGCCGGCATGCATGCTACCCTGCCAGCCCGCCCGCCTGACCACTTGCCTCCTGACTGTATGAAAGCCTGCTTGATTGTGTGACTGCCTGAATGTGTGACTGCCTGAATGTGTGACTGCCTGAATGTGTGACTGCCTGAATGTGTGACTGCCTGACTACCTGACTGACTATGTGATTGCCTGACCGTCTGCCGTGCCTGTCATAGATATACCGGTACATGCATGGCGTATTTTGTTACTATGTTCACGCTTGCAATGTGCTTGCTTCAGTGTTTGAAATGACCGGGCAATCTTACACGTTCTTAGAGTTGCCCTGCAGGTTCTACCCTGCTGGCAGGTGATGTGTGCAATTCCCACGATCCACTGCTCATGTTATCGGGTGTGTGTGTGTGTGTGTGTGTGTGTGTGTGTCTGTGTGTTTGTCTCTTTGCGTACATGCATGTATGTATTTGACGTGGGCCTTTCTCTAGGTATTGAGCCACCTGGCTATATGGCGATGGCCGGTGCTGGTAGTAGCACTGTTAGCGCCAGCGGGGCAGTAACATCAACTACCGCTAGTAGTACTGCACGGACCAGTACCACTACTGCTGCTGCTGCTGCTGCTGCTGCTGGTGGTGGTGCTGCTGGTGAAGACGAGTTTGATATGTTTGCTGCCAGGCGACAGGAAGCCTTTGCCACACCGAGCAAGTAAGGCCTAGCTTATAGCCTGCATGATTTCCGAATTGTATTCTGATGTGAAATTCTGTACCTTCATCAAGCTGCATTCAGGTACTCTATTCTTTGGTTAAATTGTTCAGCCTGTTGGGACCCAGACGGAAGTATGGTAGTCTCAGTGACCTTCCATTGAAACACACCTTCGCCCATACCTCTGCTGAACATTCCTTGATTTTATGAATGAACCAGCACCAGCACTGAAAAGTTATACTGCAAGTCTACAAATATGCGACATGTTAATTTTGGCCTCCCAGGGCTAAGACACATTTCGGCCGCATTAAAATTTCGGCCTGTGCTACATGGACTTCGGAGTAGTATTATGTTCGCTTGATGTAGCAAGTGTCAAGTCAAGTCGGCGGAAAAGCATGAGCTTCAGCGTGGGGAGCAACCAACATTCCTATAAATTTAAATTATCGCCAAAGTCGCTACCACTATTTCATATTGATGTTGCTTCCAGCACTCTGCAATCCACTGTTGTAATCCTTACTCGAATCGCGTGGGGTCAAAGCAATTATGCTGTCTCTTGCTGTTTCTGCTTGTGTTTGTGTTTAACTCCCCAGCATGTATGAAATGCCAGCTGAATCCTCTTCATCGCTGGCAAATCGCTTTGGCACGTACAATACGTCCACCCAGTCAGCGTATGGTTTCGATGCTTCTCGAGATCTCTCATCCACTGCTTTGGCATCAGCAACAGCCCAGCCACAAGCAACACCAGCGGCACAGCAAGGAGCAGCAACAATATCACCACCAGTCGCAGCAGTCGCAGCAGTCACAGCAAGTGAAACAGAAGAGGTATCATCGGCAGATGCGCCGCAAGCACCAGCAGCCGCAGCAGCTGCAATGCAGTCTTCTGAGTAAGTAAATCCGTACGGAATATTCTTGCTTAGTACTGTTAAAATAGCCCCCCCCCCCCCACACACATGCACGCACGCACACGTACAGCACACCGCCAAGAACTACACCATTACGCGCCCCTCCCCCCCCCCCCCCACACACACACACGCACGCACACACGCACGTGTACAGCACACCGCCAAGCACTACACCTTTACGCCACTGCTACGTAGCTTCTTATTATTTATTTTAGGCTCTGTGTTGCCAAGGAACCTGGGGTAGAGATCCTTGACTTGCTTACATGTACATTTCGTAAAATCTGCTTCTGTTTTTCTTTTTCTTTTCTTTTTTTGTCTGACTTGCGGCTGGCATCAGTTCCGAGTCTGTATCCCAGTGGCTTGCCAGCAATGACTTGACTGCCGACATGGAAATTATCGACGATGTAAGTCATGCAGCCATCTTCTCTCCTTTGAAGGGGGGGGGGGGGGGCGTCAGATAGTATTTTAGGGTGGTACGCGGTCAGACATCTCAAGTACACTTTACTTGTGGGGGAGGGGGGGGGGGGGCTGAGACGAAATTTTTGGCAATTTAGAGCCCAAATCAGTGTATCATATTGGTTCTAGGGGTACTTGGGGCAAAAAGTGGTATGGTCAATACCGTAGTGACTGTACCGTGTCCGACGCCGGGGGAGGGGGTGTAGGCTTATGATCATGCGTAATTTATGTTGTGTAACCTTGAATCTGCACAGGAAACTTGATAAGCGCGGAAGGTATTTGTATTTTTTCTTCAAGAGGGACATACTAAAGTCCATTTTGTATGGATGAAAAAAGGAAAGAAAAACAAAATGCAGAAAGCAGCATTTATCAGAAGGCTGTAAACTGCAATCAACATTAACACCTTATAATACCCAGTAAAAGCAGCAAAAAGTACTAATTGGAAGTGGAAAATACAGCTACCAATCTAAATGCCAGTGGTCTCACCACATATCAACCGGCTGAAGTGAAGACAAAGCAATGGATCCTGTTAATAATGTACAAGTAGTTCAAATGCAAAAAGAGGAAAGAGGTGCACAAACCTATCGACGGGTGGCTGAAGTGTGCAAGACAAAACACACAAGAACTACATAGTACGGAGCATCAGCAAATCGAATTTTTGATTTGAGTATTCGAATGGCAAAAGAAAATCAGCATGAAAATTCGAATGAAAAAGAGGTTCAGCATGCAGCGCAGTCCAGTATTTTCGTATCGAGTTTTTTTAGCTTGAGCAGTTGAGGACTGGAGATTTTGAGATGTGGGATGGCTGCGTTTGTTGCAGAGCAAGTCGATTTGTTGGATTCGCTTCTCCTGCTTGAGTTTGTTGAAGGTCACCTGGACCGAACGGAGTTGCTGCTGTTTCTCATTGCCGTTGAGGATGACGCGAAGTGGCGGATGCTTCATCCGATTCAGGCTATTGACGATAGGATCCCTCTTGGAGACCCCTTGAAAAGGCAGATCTCGACCGAGCTCCTCTGCTATCCCTTGCATATCAGGAGACCCGCGGACAAATAGCTGAGGGTGGGCCCTACACTGCCTCAGCAGAATGAGATCCATGGTGAGGTCGAACCTCAAATATTTGGCACACTTTGAGTTGCCCTCTCCCTGCGGGGAACTCACCATAGACGCAGATGCCGAGGCAACGCCAGCAGGGCTACTGGGAGCCGGAGGCATACCGGGGCTGGTAGTTGGTGACAAAGCCATGATTCCAGGATACTTGAAATGAAACAAAAAGCACACTTGACAAAACTCTTCACAGATCGAGAGAGAGAGGAAAGTGTCAAGAAGTCCGGTTCGACTTTGCCTTGTGTACTTGCAACTACTAGTACTTGAGTAAGAACGAGTAGCTACATGCGCAAGTATGCGTACTCGTAGTGCGCCGTGTACTAGAGCACGCGCGGAGCATTCGAAAAGTATTTTCTGTTCACGGGCATTTTTCAGTCGAACAAAGCCCTAGTTTCGACTGATTTTGAGTGCTTTTCGTGACAATTCTCGAATTTCACTCGAAAATTCGATTTGCTGATGCTCCATAGCAGTCCGTGCGCCAAATTCAAAAAAGTCGTCTAGAAGTTGCACTTTTATTTGCAACCGCGGGAAATTTGAGAGGCCTGGAGAAGAAAATTCTCAATGGGACTCAAAATTGACAAACAAGACGACGGCCAGCGCTCGAGCATAGTACCTTTTCGCCATTCCTTCGTGCATGATACCCATTCTAATTGATAAACACTACCCTCATGTTTCGTTTCATGCGCAACGGACCAAGCGAAGTGTCTTTTTTCGTCCACGAAAGAAAGGTAAGGAAATTGTCGTCTTCGCGACACCCTTCGGATTATTTAGTGGGGCATTGTGGGCCAAGGGTATTATTTTTTCTTTACAACTGTCCCCAGGTACTGAGACGGCGCTGATATCCTAGGAGTTCTGTTGGTGCAAAATGCCAGGTTACTGACTTATGGCGAGGTTTGTCCACCCAAAAATATGGGAGATTTCTTGGATAACATACACACATAATACAGTGAATGGTATTGCAGTGGGCATCCAAAACGGTTGAACCAAACAAATAAAACATTATGGTATGATACCTAGAGGCTAGGCACACAAAAATCACTCAGGAATTGGACGCAAGTCCTGGGGCCTTGGTGCGTCATTGCACCCGGGCATTGAATGTTCGCCGGCGCACGGCTTTTGCTTCACCACTTCATACAAGTTTACGCACTCACTCAATTCGAAAGACTGGAACGAGACCAAACCGAATGTGACAACTAAGAGCGAGTTGTGCATTTGTTGGAACAACGTTCGGGCATTGCGAGAAGGATATCAGCAGGGTCCAACAATGGCATCAACAGCACCAGGTGATGATGGAGTACCCAGGAGCTTGTATCATGCTCATTACAGTGAGCAACAAGAGAAACCGTACTGTAGTACGTGAGATCAGAGCCTGGGCAGGATGATCGACACTGTACACTGTGCCACAGCGCCTCAATTGTGCGAGAGAAAACAAACAGACCAGCAAGCACAGATCATGAACTGGTACACAACATTGACAAAGCACAAACCGCACAGCAAAGTTACAGGGCATAGCCGAGCGTTTTGTTGCCAATGAATTGCTTGAGAAGGGAGCAGTATTCCTTGTAACATTGCATGGAGTATACGAGAACGCAGAGTCAGAACCAGGCGTAACAAGGCAAGACGGCTACTGTACAGGGGACAGGCTTGACGATCACTTGCATACTCGCAATTTTGGTACAACCAGGAAATTAGGCATCACATCATACCGAAGTGGATTCGACACGCTACATTGCATTCATAGCTGTACGGTGAACCTGTTACACGAGCTTCTGTGAAACAGACAGCATGCCAATGACCTGCAAGCACCAACAAACGCAGCCGGTAAAACAAACGCTACATAACTGCCCAACATAAACTTGTACATGCTGATGAGAAGCAAGAATGTGCTTGATGTTGGAATACAAAAACATGCATGGAAAAAACATCAATGACATTGTTCACGAATACAACAGATACATCATACAGGGAGAGTAAGTAATCCTTCCTCCGTTTTGTATACGCGCACGCGCGCGTGTAGTAGATAAATCCGTTTGGCATGACTTTCGATCGAGGTTGCGTTCACCGTAGAGATAGGTGAACTCGAAGCCAACACCTCTCACTTTCGCTCTACTGCCCCTTTGGGGCCGATGCGATCCTTGTGCCAAGTTGTGGTAGTGGCTCAACAGAACAGGACAGGTGTGTGTGTGCGTGTGCGCGCATGTGTGTGTGTGTGTGTGTGTGTGTGTGTGTGCGCGTGTGTGTATGTGTAAGTGTGGTTTCTGAACTTTTCTCACAATCGTATAAGTTTCATTTTTTCGTGAAAATCCAGCTACACTGTGACCGGTACAATCGCATATCGTTTATCTGGCGGTCAGTCACCAGGTCACATGGCATGTCGGGTATCCAACAGCACCGCACTGACAGCTTATAGACCTTATATTTAGTATTTATAGTCCTACTTCAAGTAAATGTAGACAGTCAGCATCATGAAAGTTGCCATTACGTAGAGAGAGAGAAGCCAGTCTCTAGAGATGAGCACGACTGTCTCAGGGTAATACTAGTGATAAATACAGGTACTTCGAAGTACTGTCTTTTGATCTGTTAACACAAGATGGCTTTGTAGCTTCAGTCGTCCAGAATATTCATTTTATTCCGCGGGTGCCGCATAATTGACACGCAACTGTACTTGTGCAAGTCTCCAAACGCTACGTAATTGGCCGACATTTACTTGTCCACGGTGATGAGAAGCACGGCTCCTAATTTTTAAATCATGAAAGGATTACATACGCAGGTACATCCACACAATGTGCACTATCCTCAAGTCGTGCGCAAATATTCAAAATCATTCGCCGAACACAGAGAGGCGCACATACCGTAAAGTACCGCGAGAGCGCCCCACCTTGATTTTGCCGTGACAGATTTTACAGCCAGGGAAAGGAAAATCGTATGGCAGAGTGCAACGAAGTTCGTACGCTGTGAGCAACTTATTGTACTAAGGTCACACTAAGCAGGTTTTTGTGTGGAGCTCGTGTCCGCTCGAAGGTACGGATTGTCTGCAGAACGTGCAATATGTGTACAAAGTTCGTGTCGTATAACCTTCAGACAGGAGACCACCTCCACAATACGACCCCGAAAAGACGAGATGGTGGGCTCTGGCGGTACTTTACGGTACATGTAAATACGAATGAACCACATGCGCAGCAAGGAGATTAGTCATTACTTTACTTAGGCCAAAACAAAAAATAGACTTGTTTCCGGTCGGCAACCCCTCAAAAAGGAGACTCGGTCGGCCGGAATGAAACTTTTTTTTGATACTTTTTTTGGTTCCTCAATCGTTGTGGTATTGATGGACAAGAGCACCTACACATGTACAGTCGTCCCTCTCTAATCCGGCACTTTATAATCCAGCACCCTCGATAAACCAGCACAATTTTCAGTAGCCAAAATGTCCTCTTCATGCACATTGCAGCAGTAAATCAGATTTGTTAATCCAGCACCCTCCCTAATCCAGCAGATTTTCGTGGCACAAATGGTGCCGGATTATAGAGGGACCACTGTATAATTATTGTACATATGTCATGGCAAGGATCAATGTCAAAGTTGACTGACTCACTGTTCTTGTACAGCATGCGGTGTATTCCTGTTTTCGTACATCCTGAGAAATCAAGCAAACAGTTCGAGTCCTTCCAGCTCCGTTATTCTAGCTCGTATCGACCCCGGAGGTTTTCGAGCCGACAGCTGAGAATCTCTGCTACATTGTAGGTGTTTCGATTGTGGAATTCGGTTGAGATTTGACTGAGTTATGACTCGTTGAGTGCACTTGCACACATGGCATTGCCACCGTTTGTATACATTTGGGACCAAAAAAAGTTTCAGAATTTGGGAAAAAGTGGCCCGGTCGGGCGACCGGAAACAAGGTCATTATTTGTTTTGGCCTTATGAGTTGATGGATAGAAGTTTCCTTTCAGCTGACCATTACCACTCATGAAAGCAATAGTTAGTGCTGTTGTTCCGATTCACAGGTAAATATTCGGCCCTTAGCGCAATGTGTTTTCGAAGCTAGGCACACGATATGCATGAGGAAATCATGCAAAGATGTGGCATAAGGCCCTACAAACATGACCTAGGTAAAGGGATGCCATTATTTGCATTTGCAGTACTTTGGCATAGGATAATTTGTGGATGATTGTGTTGATCAATTTCACATAATTTCACGACAGGTCATAGTTTATTTAGTGGGGTGTTGTGGGCCAAGGATCTACGACCATCTCTTTTGCATTTCGAACAAGTAGACACTTTCAACAATTCATACAAAAAATTGAAAAAATGCCTTCAGTGCAAAACATACCGTTCGGACACACCAGGCAGTCCTTTCCAGCCTTGATTTTCAAGTGCAGACGTATCCACGATGACCTTCGAGTGAACTGCGGCTTGGAACACTTTGAATACGAACCACACACTCAAACTAACTAGACCACCGCATAGCTAGTGTATTCACGGAGCCAAAGAAGTCTCCTTCTGCCCCCACAGGGTCTTGGTTAGTTCTCTAGAAGGGACGAGAGCCATACCTAAATTCAATAAATTCTCCAATTCCAAAAGCCTCAAATGAAGGCGTCTTGGTGACTTCGTTTCCCGCGGTTGGAAATAAAATCAGCCCTTGAGTACCCCTTGGCGCACGGACTGCATAGTACTGCAGTATTAGACAAAGTCAATGGAAAGAAATCGGATATGGAAAGTCGGAACATCACGAGAACTTAAAGAAGAATCTATCACAGAGTTTTGCAGTGAATTCCATCTGGGATTGAGCCGGTGTTTGTGCAAGCATTTGTGTGTGTGCTTGCTGCTCATTGATGATGGCAGACACAAACTGCTGGTTATTCGTCTGCAACTCGCGCTGTGTGCTAGTGATTTCGTCTGCAAGCACATGAGCAGCCTGGACCTGTGACGGTTGTGTGGGTTGGTGTTGTCCACTCATCTTTTTGGGGTTTCCTTTTTTTAGGTGGTGCAACAGTCTCTGGCTCGTTCTCACACACCTCCACATCGGAATCGAGCCCACCACTCACCTCGAATTCCTCCTCCGCCACAGGCGTACGCTTTTTGGGATGACTTCCAGGTTGACATGAGTCCAGGTGTGGACCATACAGTTGATCGTCGAATAAATCGTCGTCACTGTCACAACCTGCAGTGAGTGACGGACGGGTAATGCCAGTAGCAAACCTTGATGATGGCGAGGACGCAGGTGCTGGTCTTCGCACAAGTGTAGTTGTGCCAACCAGAGGGTTGACAACTTCATCTTCCACATCAGCAACTGCTCCTGCGTTCGGTGTGGACTTTGCCAGTGATGGTGATGATGTGGAACACAATTCTGGGGTTCTTGCTGCTGTTGCAGACGGTGCCTGGTGTGGATTCAACTGGTGGTCCTGTGGTGGCAGTACTGGTGGCAGTACTGCCGCCGAGCTCGGTGATTTGACGGGTCCATACCCAGGAACATCAACCAGAACCCGGTTCCAGGTGCGGAAATTTGACCACGCTCTCGCGGCAGAGTCGAGCCTCGAGGTTGAGGCCCGCCGCAGCATCGCCTGACGACCCAGTGCTGGTGGCCGCCGTGTGCTTTCTGTAGAACTCTCTGACTTTCGCCTTCAAGTTATCTATCTTGTTCTTGACAACAAGGAGTGTCAAGGGTTCCACGTCGTCTCCATGCAATTCCTTCAAATATTTGTTGAGTTTCTCACTAATTTCTCTCTCCTTCACCTTCCTTTTCTTCATGAGGCCCCAGGATTGCGTTGCATGTCTACCCATAATTCTATCAATTTGGACTCACTAAAAAGTACACTCGGCATTTTGACAAATCAAAAGCGAAAACTACCACCAGCAGCAGGAAACAGCAAGAAAGTTTGCAATCCGGAGAAGACTCTCACACACTGCACTACACTGCAAAATGGCAAGTGGATGAGAAACGTGCTTTGTACAGGGTCCGCGACTCGCGTTCCGCGTGAATCCCACGTTCCGCTCTTTGCGCCCTTTTTCGTCACTCGCCTTGGCAACAAGCATGTTTACGGTGTGTTTACATGTTTTTACATAGTGTGGACAGGCTCTATATTAAAAAGAGAGTTGAAAATATAAAAATGATGAAGTCTATTGTGCATCTGTATGCTGTGGATGTGCAGAAAGCGGTGGATGAGGTTGAGCCAATGACAACAGAGGGTGAGTTTTCTTTAAACAACGCCTACATGTACATGTGTATGTATGGAGTGTCTTGTTCTGAACACTACTGCTTTGTGGCAGTAGTCCACGGTTAGTCACACAGATTCATTGTAGCCAATGGGTTCAAATTCTGGCAAAAGCACTGGGCAACATTCGGTCACACTTGCACGCACGCACGCACGCACGTGCACACACACACACGCACACACACACACACACACACACACACGCACACACGTACGCACGCACACCCACACAAACACACACACACACGCCCACACACGCACGTGCATACACAGGCAGTTTAAGAATGGTGGATCCTGGACGTCAGTTGGTGTACCTATCATGCTTCAACTGTGTTAGGTGTTTGGTCTTGTGTATTACTAGTATGCTAGTATGCTCCGGTAGAACTCGTAGACTGATATCAGTGTTCCCTTTGCTTTGGCATGCGGTCTGATGTATCTATGCTGTAGTGATGCTTGGTGGAATCATACCTCATGAGTATGTTAGCGCAGAGCACTGTGCACTGTGCAACCGTACTACTTGTACTGCAAACACTCGGCTATGCACTGGTTCATGGTACTGAACTGTTTCATCTGGCCAGACTTCATCAAGCTTGACTGCATCTCTCTCTCTCTCTCTCTCTCTCTCTCTCTCTCTCTCTCTCTCTCTCTCTCTCTCTCTCTCTCTCTCTCTCTCTCTCTCTCTCTCTCTCTCTCTCTCTCTCTCTCTCTCTCTCTCTCTCTCTCTCTCTCTCTCTCTCTCTCTCTCTCTCTCTCTCTCTCTCTCTCTCTCTCTCTCTCTCTCTCTCTCTCTCTCTCTCTCTCTCTCTCTCTCTCTCTCTCTCTCTCTCTCTCTCTCTCTCTCTCTCTCTCTCTCTCTCTCTCTCTCTCTCTCTCTCTCTCTCTCTCTCTCTCTCTCTCTCTCTCTCTCTCTCTCTCTCTGCCCTGTGCTTTTAGAATTTGACATGTTCCTCTCCGCAAGAACAAGTAAGTCAAAGAAGAGCAACGTGGTGAAAACACCAGCTGATAGCAATGAGAAGAAGCCGGCAAGACGAGCCAGACGCATGATGCAGAAAGCGGATGATGATGAAAACGAAGGCCTCTTCGCTCTCTAGGATTCTTGTGAGTTCATATTTTGGTCTAGCATTACTGTAGTGTCGCGTATAAAAGCATGACTTGTATAGAAGCATGACCTGTATAGAAGCATGACCTGTATAGAAGCATGACCTGTATAGAAGCCTATTTTTAGAAGCGCGCCGTGACACAGAAGCACGATTTGGATAGAAGCCTCTCTCTGCAAAGACACGTGCAAGTACTTGCACAGTACATACGTGGCAGTATGCACTGCATGGTGCACACTGATGATGTTGACGTAGCAGCAGGTTTTGAATAGAAGCGTAAGTTGAATAGAAGCATGGTTCAAACCCCGGCTTATACTCAGCTTACCTTGGATCTCCACACAAGAACATGCTAAGTGTGACCTTAGTGCACTAAGGTACTTGCACCGTATATACTTCATTGCACTCTGCCGTACAATCTTCCTTTCCCTGCCTGTAAAATCAAGGTGGGGCGCTCTCGCAATACGTTACGGAACGTTTCTTCAGGGGTAATGTTTGATTTTTCTACTTGTATGTTTTTCTTTCATATTGTGTAGATGTGTGTTCAGCCCGAGGTCAGCAAGTAGTAGTTGATGAGGTAGCCGAGTCCCAGGACAGCAGCTGTTGTTTGAGCACTAGCCAAAATAAGCCCTCTGACTTTAAACAGGGAGCATGAGGTCCGCAGATGTGTTTTGCTGATTGCTGGTTGATGACAACTCTTATGTCTTGTGCACCTAGCTCTTGTAACTTGTATTTGGTCTTCGAAGGCTAGTCATGCTTCTTCTTTGGTATATCCTTCTCCTCCTCCACCCCTTTCCTCCAGCGTGCTGTAAATATTTTTTCCACCTTGAAATCAGGCATCCATGCTTTGTCGCCTGGCTCCAGTTCAGAGGCCTGGGCCTGCCTTCGAAGGCTGAGTAAAAATTATAGTTTGTTCATGTTTTGGACTCTCGACTTGTGGCCCCAGGCTGCCAGTTGCCATTGAAGCCGGTGCTTCATTTTCATCTTCAATTTATTTCCACGAAACAGCAAGAAACCATGATAACATCATGTTTCATCTAGCACGCATTACAATATATCTCAACGTCGCAGTTTTACACACCTGTTTAATTTCTAGATTCCAGAAATAGCACTTTGCGGCCGCAAACTTCACTTGTCTTTTTATATTTTAGAGTAGATGCCTTGCGCTTCTAGAATTTGTGAGGCGATGATTTAGGTATTACCGAGTTGTTGTTTTCCAGTGGCTACTTCTGCTTCTCAATTGGTGGCTGTAGCCGCACCAGTGATGCAGTGCTGGCTGCTGTCAATTTTTTTTATCTTCAATTTGTTGCACAGTATCCAGTCCTTTATCTACTGGGTTGTCTCACTAGTTGGAATTGGTAGTCTAGGTAATCATGTTGTGTTTCAAAGTAGATCTTTGAAATATTCCCATGTTTCAAAGTAGATCTTTGAAACAATGCTGCAGATGTTTTTTCCATTGCTGTTTGACACACTTATTCTGTTTCCTGCTATTCTGCTGGCCACTGATTCTGATGTGTTCTATGTTGTGTACTACTTGGTCCGCCCAGTGAATTGGCGCTTATCTTCACACTTGTCTCAGGAAAGAAATACGAATATTTGAAGCAAGCCACGATCACAAAGCACTATATACATGATTATTTACATGTCAGTAAGCAACTCAGTCGAAAATTCAAGCAAGTTACACATTCTCCTCGCCACTATCGTCGCTGGAGGAAGAGCTCAAAACGTACGATCCGGACAGCTGCTGCGCGGGTCGTTTCATAGCTTGTTCCACTTCTCCTCGTCTCGAATCACGCTCAAAGGCAGTGCGTGCCTGTCACCTTCCCATCAGAAGCTGAGTGAGACTGCCAGCATGTTGACTGTAAGTGTTATCCCCGTTCGTCGCAATAATGCGACTTTGTTTGAGACAAAAAGGCAACGCCATATCAGACTTCAGTGTCCTTTTTTCAAATCGCCTCTTGCGCTTGTCGACAATGTCGTACTTGCTGATCAGCACCCGTACCCACGCGAGCCGCTGGTGCTTGTACATGCAGCGCAGTGATAGCTTCCGCTTGATGTAGCACCTGTGCGTACTGCACCTACAACGCCGTGCACCAGGCTTTTCGGCTAGTTTCCTGAAAGTCCTTTGCACGAGTGTTTCTCTCAGGACTTGGTGTTTCCTTTGATTACTAGTGGCTCCTTTGCCCTGTCCTCTGTGAGCTTCAAAGTGTGTCCGCCGGATTGGTCTCACTTACTGGAGACATCGACATGAGCTGCAGTTTCTTCGTCAGCGATTTGCTGGTGATAGCCCTTCACTAGGCGCTGTACTGTGCAAGCACTGAAATTCAAGCTCGCGAAGCGCTTTTTCAGCTTGAAGTTTTCTATACCTCCCCGGGGTAAACAATCCTTGCCATCAGACAGCTGGAAGTAGACAGAAACTGTATTGTCCATCGCTCTGAAATGCGAACATCCTGACCTATTTTACGGACTCGAGCGGAGGTTGCAGTGTTTTCTTGCGCTGACGGAAGTGTTCGTCGGCGGCAGCTCCGTCAAAAAGACTCAAACGAACCGATCGCAACTTCTGTGATGGTTTGTGCTGCCATGTCGTCGGATGCAATGGTCAATGGTCATGTTCGGATGGTGAATCGGTGCTTCCATGCCGTGTGGCACAGGCAGAACACCAAAAACCAAGTGAGAAGATAAGCGCCAATTTTAACTGGGCGGACCAAGTACAACTTCTACAAGTATTATGCTATGTCACTGTTTCATTGTTAATTGTGTGTTGTGTTGCAGGGAGAGTATGTCATGTGTGTGTGGGGGGGGGGGGGGCATATGCCTTGTGCTGGGGCATATGCCTTGTGCTGGGGGTGAGGGTGAGTTGATGGCCGTGGAGTATCGCTTCAAGGTGCCGGCAAGAGTAAAGTAATTAGTTCAGTAGGCTTACTTACTCTTGGTAGCTGGTAGCGGTGTATGCTGACTGCTGTCTTTGCATGCATCAAAGCAGCATGTGTGTCTCAATCTCTACATTAGTAATTACCCCATATTCGTGATGATATCTGCCATGATATCTGCCATATCTGTACATCTGCATGTCGTGTGTTTTCAAAACGCACAAGGACTATAGTCTGTTTCAAAAAGATTAGCAATCAGGTTTTGGTCTTAAAAAGTATGAAGATAAGGGAAAATTGGACAACGAAGTACATAAAAGGGCTGGTTAGGGCACGGCAAATTGTTCTGTGAAGGACCAGCCGTTAAGGAGTTAGAATTTCGGCCAGGTTTCCGGCCTTTTCCCATGGTTTACAATTTGCCCTGGAAGCCAGTATCGATTTTTCTATCTAAACTCACGATTTATCTGTTCCTTTCTGGCCTTGTGGTTATGGATGCTGTCTGTTGACCATGAAGTTGCGAGTTCAAATCCCAATCTATCTTCAACTCACACTTTTTTTTAGGGGTGAAAGGGGTGATCCGGGTTACCCGGGTACCCGTCTGTTTAGCTGCTGATCCGTTAGCAAACGAGTACCCGATACCGTCACGGGCGATAGTCGTGTGTAGGATGGTAGGGTGCAGCTTGCTTGTACAGTCGTACAGTTCGGTGCACAGTTTTGAGTGTGTTTTGCTTGTTCAATCGGATCCTGCTACATCATATCACGGTATCCATTGTAGCAAGAGTAGATAAACAAGAGTGTGCAACTCCGGATGGGTAGGCCCACGGCGGAATTTTTTGTTGACGTAATCTTTTCGACTCGCACGCGCTGCGAGTCTTTCGGAAAATTTTCCCTCGTGCTCTTGGCCGGCATCACACTACTTCGAAGTACAAGGTCGGTGCCCAGCACGTGCTCTCACACTGCTCTGCGGCAAAATCCGCATTCTTCTGAAAAAAGGTGACGTCAACAAAAAATTCCGCCGTGGCCCGTGGGCGGGGGTATCTGCAGATTGTGCAGGAGAGATCCGGAGTTGCACACTCTACTCTTGATTGTAGCTACGACAATTTTGACTATTTGCATGTAGCGCAGTGAGTGTGCACGCTGTGCTTGTCGCAGTGTAGTGTAATTGCATGACTTCGCATATCCTCCTGGCGCCAAATCCGGAAGGCTATTGTAGTAACTGTTGCCCGAAAATCTCTCTCCTTTCAGATTGCCTGTAAAAGACACGTTGCGCTTACGATCACAGGCAAATGCAATGTTTTTGGGAAAGTATGGCGGATAAAGGGTACCCGATAACCCGCCCGTTAAGCCAGATACCCGTTTGTTACCTTAAAGGGTAACCGTTTCACCCCTACTTTTTTTCATTGTTTTTTTGGTGATCAAGCAGACTTGTTGTTGTTCACGGTTGTTGTTGTTGGAGCTCCCGCTTCCTCTCGAACTGACTGACACTTGACTGGCTCACGCCATGTGAACACACCCTCAACACTGAAACGGTGTGAGTGAATACGGAAGTCATTGCGCTGTAGCTACGTGTTGAATACACCGGCACATCGATCGATCGATTTCTTTTTGAGAATTATTTTAGTATTTCAAGATCGCCAATTTATTTGAATTTAGAAGTCAACGCCGTCTTCTATCAGCTTCCACAGGCGTCTGCTTTTCTCAAAATGTTGTCGAAGTCATACGGATAGCTTCGCCAAGTCATGGCCTTGGGAATGAGTCTGTGTCGATGTCGTTTTCGTCACATGGTGAGAGTAAATTGCATCGCAGCTCAAAGAAACTATTTGGTCACAAAACATATTGGGACCCATGCCGCTCGTCAGCCTTGGCATTTACTACACTTTCGACATGTCCTCTCTGACTCCAGTCCATAATCGATACGAGGAAGAACTCGTTTGTTGTGAACCAGACGTACACGACTGTACCGACATCGACCTGAGTGAGTTGTCATTTTTCATGCTTTCGCGCGGAATATTTCTTCGAGTTCACAGTGAGTTTTTGCAGGCAGCGCTCGAGCGCTCATACGGTAAGACGGCAAACTCCCCGGGCGATCACCAGGATTGCTAATCTTTTTGAAACTGACTGTAGTGACTCTGGGTACGTCTCACGAAAAAGGCAATGTAATCTCAGTGGTGGCAGAGGCCAAGAGATTATCATCACCTGGCTGGGAATCGTACAGTGTAATGGGCAACGAGAACCTGTTTTCCATTTTCCATGCCGCTACAAAATAGAATAGTGGCTATACAATGTGGAAGAAGATGCAGATGAGAAAGCAAATGCAAGCTCTACTCATTCCGCTGAAATGCGATGCGCTCAGCTCATCACTACAGTCAACTTCGCTAATAACGACTGCGGATATAACGACAATTATTCGCGAATAACGACAGAATTTCCATGCCGAGAGTAAGGTCCCATCTAACTGTAATACATACACCGGAGGATGTACCCAGTGTGCTGACAGTGCTCAACACTCAATTGTTGTTTTGTAACTGTAATACATAATAAATATTATAATGAGACTTCGGGTATAAGGACACTTTGCGAATAAGGACACTTTTCTGATGCCCCGCTGAGTGTCGTTATACGCGAAGTTGACTGTGTACGTCAATCGCACACCGTGATGCAAAATTTAATTTGCAGGCTATGCACACTGAGTTTTGCAGAACTTGGAGGCATGGAAATGCCTGCATCCTCGCAATCCACTGAGCAAACTAACAAGCAACACAAGCCAGATCTCTCGGGGCAGGAACACATGCTGCATTGCACGCACATGAGCAAATGTGCCCACTCCGAAATGCAGTATGCCGTAGAAGAGCAAGATACGTGTATCGTTATAAACTCTTCTTGTAATGTACAGTGGGAAAGTGCCAACACAAACAGATAGACAAAGAGAGCCGCACGAAGATAAATATAGAGCGCATTAAAAACCAGGAGAGAGTCACAGAGTCATAGCCAGTCCCAGAGAGAAAGAAACAGCTGCAGCTGCAACAGACACAGAGAAGAAATGAAAACAAGAGAGTAGGAAGGAGAAGGAGAGAGAGAGAGAGAGAGAGAGAGAGAGAGAGAGAGAGAGAGAAAGAGAGAGAGAGAGAGAGAGAAAGAGAGAGAGAAAGAGAGAAGAGAGAGAGAGAGAGAGAGAGAGAGAGAGAGAGAGAGAGAGAGAGAGAGAGGGAAAGAGGGGGGGGGGGGGGAGACTTGGCACAGTCATATTGATGTGTACTTCGAAGTAGTGTTTTCAACACATGTAGTATACATGCTAGAACATACACCGTTACACGCACTTTTTATGTTTTAATCTTATGTTGAGTTCGAAACAGGACGACTGACAACGGGAACAAGTTAGTGGGAACGACATTTATTATAGACGACGAGACAAGAGACCAAGACGAACGAAACGACTACTGGACTAGTTCTTGATACTGTACTTGACACGTTGATGCTGGACTAGTTGTTCATACTGGACTAGTTCTTGACACTGTACTTGACAAGTTGATCCTGGACTAGTTGTTCATACTGGGTTTCTTGATACTGGGCTAGCTGTTGATACTGGGTTTCTTGATACTGGGCTAGCTGCTGATACTGTACTTGTTGATACTGGACTGAGTATGGTGCCTGGAGTGATTGTTGATGCTGGACAAGTCGTTGAAGCTGGACTTGTTGATTCTGCATTAGTTGTTGAAACTCGACTTCTTGATACTGCATTAGG